ATTGGATATTATAAGTTTAAGTTTGGTTCAAATATATTTTTGTTTTCTGTAAATGAAAAGTTTACAATCTGCTAAATAAGTACAAACCTTCTATAATTGTAACAAGAGTTATAAGTCCTAGATATTTTTATTAATTTGATTAGTCTTCTCAAGTTTTTTTTAAACATGTTGGGACATTAACACACATCTAGTTCCATCGTAAGCTACGAGGCTTGTGTTATGTATACCAGATAGTTGATACACTACACATATATAAACTTTAAAAACATACATATTTTAAATATAAACACCCATGACTGGAGTACAAACATTCATGCTCATCACACAATGAATGCCCCCAGCGGACCTCGAACCTGCGACCGCTGGCACAACAAGTAGGGTCACTACACACTGAGCCAAACGTCAATTCAGTTCGTTCTTCACAAAAGAGATAGTTTAGATTTTTTTTTAAATATAAGACTGGATATTCTTTTTTTTATTTAGATGTGATATTTTTAATATTTCAATTAGACTAACTAGAACAAATGGGAAATTATTTCGTTTCATGCAAATACTTGTCAAAAAATATTCGAATATTCGTTATCTACATCACTAATATTAATGTGAATATTTGCATTTTTCTTTTTTTACTAGGTATATGTATATTATAAAATGTATGAATATAATATTAAATAAGTAATTGTAAAAATGAAACAAACGTCTTCATTATACTAAATGCCTTTATTATTATGTAAACTCTTATTGTAAGGAAGACGAAGTTTTTAGCATAAAAATGTACTTAAAATGTATTAACAAAAATAAAATAAATTTAAAAACATTAATAAAAAATTGTATTTAAAAAAAACCTATTTCCTTTTTAAAAAGAATTGCAAAGGATTGAAATAAAAGATGCTGAAAAATCAGACAATTTGACACATTCACAAGTCCCAGAAAAATTCAGAGGCCACCATTACTGGACACATCAAGACAGAATAACTGTTGAAGCCAGTGATGATGGTCTCAACTGATTCACATAATACTTTCTTAGATTTACGCGAATGTTTGACATTATTAAATAAAACTATCTTTTCGGATTATTTCGCGGATTTATTTTGATTTTTGGTTCCCGACGTTTCAAATGCTTTACAGCATCCATGGTCACTGGAGACATGGTGGAAAGACTGAGGTGTTACATGTCTTGAATGTATAGTTGTTACAGACAGCCTACCCACAATTAACAAAATGAAAAATGCACCAATTACATTACATTAATTACATTAATTATATATATTATATATATATATATATATATATATATATATATATATATATATATATATATATATATATAGTATTAAAAAATCCATAATAGTCCATTAGTTCTCAAATAATGCCCTTACCAATGAACAGCATTTAATTTTTATTTATATGACTTAAAGCTTTGTTTGCTTTGGGCAATACAAAGCAAGGTGTGAATTATACATTATAATCCTTCACGTGCAAATACATTTTAGCACATAATGAATACAAGTGGAAAGTACCTTCTATAGAATACAACATAATCTCGTCTGCGGCAGCTTGGGAGGGAAATTCAGTGTGGACGGTATCTCTGGATGGTGATGGTAGAGGGTTTCCTTGAAGTGGTGGTTCCTGAGAATATGACAAATATACATTAAAGAATTCAACCTAAACCCACTTATTAGTGGGTAGTAGTAATCTAATATTACTATTATTACAACTACTATTACAAAAATCACAAGGAAAATAAATAACTAACATCAAATCCTCTCTCCTCAATTCCAACTAGACCAAAAACAACAGACAAACCCATTATGCCCAACACTCTTTGTTCCGAAGCTATGAGAGTTTGTCTGCTGCTTGGACCACCACCAGTACCACTAGCCTCGCGACGCATTGCCAAGGCCTTTTTTTTGTTTTGGCTTTCCAATCCGCCCACACCTGCAGATATTAGTCAGTTAATGTTAAACAATGTAAGTTGTTATCTAATTATACAGTCAATTAAGTGAACAGATTGTTATATACACTGATATCTACTATTATTCTGTTTATTGATATATTAACAAAGATTTTATTAGTATGTTTAAAGTTGTGTGAGAAAGATGAAGGACATATTTTCATATAATTATTTTTGCCTCTTTTTACTATATAGTAAATATTTATTGTACCTTATGATTGGTTTGCAATTGTTTTAACTAAACTAAAATAGATAAATATGCTAACACTAGTCTGAGCTTGAAATACCTATAAAAAAAGTATTTTTTTTTTTTTTTTTTATAGTATTCTGAATTAGTGCTTGACTACGTTCCACCTGATGGTAAGTGGTAACGCAGTCGTAGATGGTAAGTCGCACTAATTCAGTAGCCACCTATTCACTCTTGCCTTGAAGACACCCATGTTGTAATCGGACGGAAACACCGACGCCGGCAGGTTGTTCCAATCCTTAGCCGCACGTATAATGAATGACGTAGCGAAACGCTTCGTCCGGACGGGTGGAATGTCCACGACATAAGGATGGAGACCAGCCGTTCGTCGGGTTGTCCGATGGTAGAAAGGAGATGGAGGAATCAAGCTGTGTAGTTCCTGCGAATTAGTTTTTTAATTTTATTGAGAGCTTTTCTTGAGAATTAAAATAATGGAACTCACTTTTTTCCATTTTTCCATTGATCTATTGACTCTTCCACCAATGGAGTTAAGTAACTCTCTCAACTCCTGCCGTAGATGGTCTGCCCTTATCCTGCCTTGAGCCCCTTGTTGGGGTCTTGCTATATCTCCATGGCTATAAATTAAAACTATATTAGAAAAACAAAGGGTCTATTGATTAATCCCTCCACGAGCGCGGACACGCCGGCGTGTCAGTTAACTATAGATTTCCTAGAATTTTAATTAATTTCTTAGAAATTTACCTAGAGGTGTTAAGCATCTTTGCTGGTGAATACAATCGTTTTGTTTGTTTTCTATGCAAGTAGTAAACCTATTATATTTTATTTATTTATTGTCAAAGGCTTACTAACTATATTTACATAGTGACATGAGTTTAACACAATAATAGTTCTCTATTTTCTATTTAAATTTAACTAAAAGGCACAGCTTTGTATAGAAATATTTTAATTAAATTTTTATGTACTTGAGGAATAAATTAAAAAAAGATCTTCAGTTACAATCCCCTATATAATGCGACAAAACGCAAATATGATAAATAATATACATCGTATATATATATATATATATATATATATATATATATATATATATATATATATATACTATCGTGAGCAAAAAAATCTACTCAGGACGCACGCTTGCGGTTAAAAAGCTCTAGCAAAAAATCGGAAGCTTTTATTATATTTCTGATTTTAATATCTCAAAGTTCTTTGTTTAGCCATAGAGTATATTGCTACATATATAAATAGAGGTACAACTCGTCGTCGAAGCTGGTAATGCTTAAAAAGCGCCATCTCTATTGTAAAGTGTGAAACTTTCTATATAGGTATATACGTAGCTATATATATATATATATATATATATATATATATATATATATATATTCATATTATTGTTCATTAATATTTTTACTTAGGCGCAAAGGGTAAAAATAAAAAAAATATATGATGTATTATAATTTATTTGAACATTAATAATTCTTATAACAATAAAATTCAAATATAGACATCGTCCTTCAACTAACTTAACTTAGTAATAGACTTTACAAAGTTGGAAATGCTTTACCATCATTTCACTAGTTTTACACCTGCTAATAATGGTAATTATAATATTTTATGACTAAAAAATATTTACAGTAAACAATATTAAATACAGAAACAAACATATTATATATTATATACATAACAATCATTACTGATTTTATATTTTTGTCAACATAGAAGGTCTGCCGTCTGGTAGTCTCTATTGCCGTACGAGGAGAACTGTATTATGGCATATGCCACAAATAGCACGATATTAAATAAATAATAACAAGACATTACATAAACCAATCAAGTTTTCACATATAACAAAAAAAATAAGAAGCAGAAGACAAGAAAAAGAAAAATAAACAACTAAAACAAAAATAATATTTATACATCTAATTAAAAAATAACAGAAACAATGAGTAAAATGTATCTATCTATACATTTAACAAAATTCTAACTTATATATCTATAAATTAAATATTTTGTTAATCAATTTAACAATACAGAGGACGAATTTTTTACAATTTGTCTGTCTGTGACCAAATCACTCGAAAACCACTGGACAGATTAAATGAAAATTTGGGATGACAGTTGGTTAACAAGGTAAACACATAAATTAACATATAAACGATATGATGACGGACCCGAGCGAAGCGAGGTCCAGTCATTAATATGTTTATAGCATAAAGGACATCAAAAAAATATTTAAGTTTCATTTGTATAATGACAAGTTCGACTCAGTTTGTAGTGACGCTACTGGCTATACCAGTGGTCGCGGGTTCGGGTTCTGCTGAGGGAATTCATTCATGAGCACAAATGTTAGTATGGCTTAATATTAAACACATTAATTTGATTTTTATTACATTTGCTTTTCTTTGGATGTGGTTTGTTGATGTTGGTAACAGGGCCATCAGATTAATCCTTAAATGCACACTTTAGGGATTAATCTATTGCCCCGGTTGCCTGGGTCTTCATTATAGTTTTCCCCACTGCTCTCTGCTCTCCTGTAAAAATGAAAATAAGACTTAGTAAATAAACCATCTGCTACATCTTATAGTACATAGGTCGCAAGTGCCCAAATCAAACTTTTTATGTAGCTGTTGTCTTTGTCTTTTTTAAGCACATTTATCACTAGATCTAGATGTAGTTTTAATGCAGATACTTATCACGGTATATTTCTACCCCGACTATATGTCTAAATGGATAAACACCTCGAAATTAAAAATATTATTTGCTTGCTTACCATGATTTTGCTGGTTCATATATATTGACTATTCCTTTGGTTCTTTAGAGTAAAGATTCTTGCCTCTATACCCCTGCTACTCTGTGCTCCCCTGTAAAAAATAAGACTTATTTTAATGCAGGTACTTATCACAGTAAGTATTAACCCCAAATATGTTTGTACATGGATAAACATCTATTTGCTTGCTTACCATGATGTTGCTGGTTCATATATGTATATTGACTATTCCTTTGGTTCTTGAGTGAAGATTCTTGCGTCGATGTCCCGGATGCTCCCTGCTCTGCGTCGATGTCCCAGCTGCTCCCTGCTCTGCGTCGATGTCCCGGCTGCTCTCTGCTCTCCTGCAAAAATTTATGACAGTAAGTATTAACCCCAACTATATTTCTACATGTATGAACACCTCGTAATTGAAAATATTATTTGCTTGCTTACCATGATCTTCAACATCATCATCATCATCTCAGCAACAACACATCTTGTTTATCTATGTCTTTTAAAACACTTATTTAACTTCTTGGCCTTCATTTGGAAGCTGTCCTGATCATCATCAACTTGTCTTTTTCCAGCTAATATATTGTATAATAAGTTCTAATCTTTGGGTTTTATTGGGAGTTAAAAAAGTAGTTCATATATCTGACATAGGTACCTTACCTTTAGTTTCCTTACATCCAGGAACGCAGCATTGCTTGTCTGATGGCATAATTGGACCTCGAAGTTCTTGATGAGCACACCAAAAATGAAATATCCTGCAAAATAAAAAAAACAAACGCCAGAAACGAGTCCTAACTCAGTTCTACTAACTACGAAATTGCGATATGTTGAGATCACAGTCATATGAATTTATTGGAGGAACATAAGCTCAACTCAACGATAAAACACAATAACTGGCACTTAGTTTGGGGAAAATTATAAATTTTTAAAATATCACACTGTTAAAGATACCTGTATCACCAACGGCGGATATTTAAAAAGTAAAAGCCAGGTAAAAACTCATCTCATCTGGTCTCAGCAGTGACATCTATTGAACGAATTCAAAAAAAATTATAAGTTTTACCCTGCCATCTCTATTGTAAAGTGGGACAACTTCAATATTTGAATTACCACGTGATTTGTATATAACTTGAATGACTGGTTTTAGCTTTAAAATGAGTGGTCTATGTTGTTATTAAAAAATGTTTTCTGGTAAAGAAAAAATATTGAATGAGATGGAGTCTTAAGCAATAAAAAAAGTGATGGTTGACGGTTAAGAAAATACCACGTAAAATTCGTCAAAACAATAATTTAATTTTTTTTTTTTAATATTTAGTGTTGCCCCCCCTGGCCCTAATAACAGCTTCCAATCGCTTTTTCATGGATCGAATAAGTTTCCTTACTCGATCTTGTTCGATGCTATTCCATTCGTCGATTAGCGCTGCTTTGAGGTCCGCCATCGTGTCTGGTGCAGGATTTCTAGCCCGAACTTTTCTTTTAAGATCATCCCACAAATGCTCGATAGGATTTAAGTCCGGGCTACGCGCTGGCCAGTCCATAGCGGCAATTGCGACCTGCTTGTAAATACTGCCGGACGGAACTTGCAGTATGTGGACGGGCATTGTCGTGCATTAGGACGAAGTTTTCGCCAATGAAACCGGCGTAGGGAACGACGTGATCCTCTAAAATCTCTTCGATGTATCGGATCGCCGTCAATCCTCCCATTCGACCGCCAGTTTCAATAAAAACCAACTCGGTTTTTGCCTCGCTTGAAATGCCGGCCCACACCATCCAGGAACCTCCTCCAAAAGCAACATTTTCTTTGATACAGCACTGCGCGAATCTTTCCCCGGGTCTTCTGTAGACTCGTTCTCTTCTATCACTACCATGCGAGCACACTCTACTTTCGTCTGAGAAGAGAACGGTGCTCCATTGTTCGTCAGTCCAATCAACATGTTCTCTAGCGAAACGTAGGCGGGCTGCTCGCTGGTCTGGGGTTAATTTGGGGCCAGTAGCCGTTTATTACATTTGCTTTTCTTTGGATTTGGCCTTTTTGGCTCAAGCCTAGCTGCCTTAAGTCGTCTTCTGACTGTCCAGCCACTCACAGCTACTCCTCGCGTTTCTCTGAGCTCTTGTTGGACTTGAACGCCAGTGAGGGCCCGATTTCTTAACGATGTGCTGACAATAAATCGGTCATCTCCCTCTGATGTGCACCTTTTTCTATTGGAACCACGTCTTCGATTAAAGCCACCAGTCTCCTGGTAACGACGGTAAACTCTGGAAACAGCAGACTGGCTCATGTTCACTGCACGTGCCACTTCACACTGACTCTGGCCTTGTCGCAATAGGGTGATCGCTTGAGCTGCTAAATCGCTTGTTGTGTCCATTTTCAGGTAGAATTCTTGATTGTTGATAACGGAGATGTGTATCGGCGACGTTTGACGGCTAACTGAAAAGGGTGGGTCAGGTAGATAACCTTTTATATGGGTCAGTAACCCTTAATTAGCACTATTGTAAACAAGCGTAAAAAGGGTGGTTACTGATCACAACATATTGTTGGGTTGTGTGAGCAATAAATCTTACAATATTTTATATCATTTTGAAGCTAATACTAGCATCTTTAAGATTTTACTATGAAAAAAATATATTTGCTTTCAGTTTTTTTTCCATTGACTTGCGACTACAGATGTGTCGTCTGAGTCGATTTTTTTGCTCACGAGTGTATATATATATATATATATATATATATATACATATATATATATATATATAAAATCAAATCAAAGTGCATTTTATCCTCCATAAACTGAAAAAAGACATCGAAATCGGCCAATCGAAATAAACAAAACTGGGCTAAAAGTGGATAGGTATTATATATTGACAATATAGGTACCCCGGTGTTGTCTTCTAATAAATTAAAATTGGTAGCGACCATTGAAGTTGTTCAACAATTTAATCTTATCTAAATATTTAAATACAATTTCTCTTTAAATAAACTTAAGGTGTTAGGGAAAATGTCTACATTACATTGTTGAAATATACAGTTATAGTTTAAAGCCTCAGTAAGAGTAGCCTCGTTTTTTTCTAGTTCCTGAGTATGACTATAAGCTGAGATAACTAATAATAATATACGTACCTTTCCATGAATTCTAGTAAAGCTGAAAATTGTTCTGGGCTAGCTCGGCATCTGGACTCCATCCTCACTATAATAATTTATTTATATTTGGCACTGTGATATTAACAACACACACAGACTCAGTACCCCAGCTAGAAATGTGTCGAACTTAAGCTAACTAACCCATTTTAAAGTAAAGCTCTTTCCCCTCCGTTGCGCACTTCCATTCCTGTAACACTAACAACTACAAAGTCAAATAGGTACATAAATATTTCAATAGACCCTTTTTAAGAAAAAACTATTTTTCTTAAAGTGACGACTTACATTACGAGTCACTTCATTTTGTCAAATAAAATATAAATTAATTACTCTGAAGGAATGCTATACTTACTTAAGCGACGATTTTAAATCACTTATCAACCACTTCATAGGTGCTGAACAAAAACATCCACTCTACATCGACCTCACGTAAGCTGCATTCTTGACGTAAAATGTAAATAGCCTTACGTTAAAATAAGAATATTGAACACTCAAGTATTTCCATTATAATTCATTCACTTTTTTATCACAAAACAAAACATATTTTGATTTTTCAAACAAGACCGTGACTTTAACGTGTATAGGAACGCTCACAATAAGCTATTTTTCGATCCACATTGTAGAATGAACGATTGACACTGTAGACACTAGTTTTGTTGATATGGCTAGCATCAAATCGTTTTCTAAAATAGCTATCGACAATACGCCACCAATGATAGAAAGAGATTAGATAGGAAACGTTTGTAACATGGCTAAGCCCCCAGTTTAGTGTAGTGGTTAGATACTTGTTTATTACACAGTGGGGCGCACGTTCGATGCTCATCTTAATAACAATTAATAGGTGCTATTAGTATATGCTTTACAATATTATTATATAAATAATAATTTATACTTTTCTCTTGTAAAACGACCAAACGACAAAAAACATAAAAAAATTAGCCATAAAACTTGACGTTATTATGACAAATTTTTAATACATTTCAAACATTACGCACACGACCAACTCAGTAGCAAATCAAAGTATCAAAATATTAAGTTAACTGTGTGCGCAAATTAAGGTCAACACACAAAACGAACACGTACTGATGCAAATAATTTCGCGCATCGTCGAACCATTTCCAGGGCTCCCCGTCCGGCGTAGTGATGGGTGTCGGGTACTGTGCAAACATAACTCGTCATACAACCACACGATACCAAATTATACATACATACATACATACATATATATTATTATACATGTGTGTATTATACACTTTGTCTACACTTTGTACTCAATAGACGGTCCAACGTATACTGTAAACACTGTATATATATATAATTGAAGCTAATAACGGTCGAAACGATGTGCCAGCATATTATATGTCAAAGTTCGATAGGAACATTGATTGAACACGTAACAAAATGTTACATATCAAAAGGAACCGTTATCTTCTACGGTTAGCCTCAAATAGAAAGTTGGTACGAATATTATGAAATATGTTCTATTGAGTACAAAGTGTGAAACCATGAATACTTTTATCAGTCTGAGCGGCGAATATTTTTTAGTTCATCGCCAATAACATGTTCACGAACGGCAATTGTGTTATAGTAAAAAATCGAGAAAAAGACTCTGTAAACTGTTGATGTAAGAGATCTTGTGTACAAAATAAACATTACATTACTATCGTACCTAGATAAAACATTTACGTTATCGCTGGTATGAAATTAGAGTTATTTTTGTATAACGATACGAGACGGGTCTGAAATCTATACATATAATAAAATTCTAACTAAGCCGGATCTGTACATTAAATATTTTTTTGGAAAATCTTATTGAAATAGACATTATTATCGATACAGAGGCCGAATCTATAGTTTTGGCGATCAGAAGGGAAAAAGAAATAAAAATAAAGAACACTTCAAACAATCTAAAGGTACTTTATTTCAGAATAGACTTAATTTTAATAACATTTTAATTAATGATCAAAATTCGAGCAATCACTTACAACCGTTAATATTCAAAATAAGAAGAACATAAATAAAACCACTATAGAACAAAATATGGAACGCTTCTTCTTCTTCTTCTTCTAACACGGCTTTTTCCGCACTTAGGCATCTTTGCCACTCCATTATTATTTTTTCCATCCATGTTATTCTTTCCATCCCAGAGCGTCCCAGAAGTCTAGCAGGCTGCCGGTGTCCTGGAAGATTTCAGGGATCGATCTGTAGGGGCCGAGTTTTTTACGCGTAATTGTTCCAGTGCACTACATTCAGTTAGAATGTGTTCTAGTGTTTCATATTCTTGGAGGCACGCTCTGCAGAGGGCGCTATCCGTGTGTCCTATGTTAAAAAGATGTTTATTGAGTTGGCAGTCCTGTTATCAGTTCCACCACCGTTTTTAGTTTGGGTCTATCTAGGCGTGTTAGTCATCACCTTTATTAATATTATATTTATCTTTAATAGTTTTTCTCAAATATATTCCATGTACAGAGAAATTTCAGTAAATACAAGCGATCAGTTACAATTTTATTATTTGTATAGATTAGGTAAATATTTCAGATTACTGTAACGTGGACATACAGGCGAATGTAAAGAAAATTATCTTTATTCGATTGGTCTTTTACGAGCATTTTTGAATCGACAGTTTAATTTTAAGAAAGTACTTAATTTTAGTCGGCTCGTTAGGAAGTTCATACTAATACTTACATATAAGAAATTTGAACCTGAACTCTAGTCATATAAACATAATTTGACGGTTTAAATAAAACTATCTTTTCGGATTTTGTCGCGGATTTATTTGCATTTTTGTTTCCCGACGTTTCGAATGCTTTACAGCATCCATGGTCACGGGAGAGACGTCTCTCCCGTGACCAAGATAGTTTAATTTAAAATGTCAAATATTCGCGTAAATCTAAGAAAGTATTATAATTTGACGGGTTAAAAATTTGTATTGTGCAATCAAAAGTCTAGACTAGATCTATTGCGTGCATTTTTACAACTTACTATCGAATTTCTCACTAATTTATCATAAAATGTAATATTAATAAAGGTGTGTATTATCTGATTGAGATTAGATCTTTCAATAACGATATACGATTAAAGGAAAAGTACATAACACTTAACATTTCCGCAGTCCTAACACAGAGTTAGGACTCTATGACAGTAGTCTATCATATGACGACTATCAATCTACTACATATTTGTTTGATAGCGGTATCGCTACAATCACGTGTGTAATGGCTGGTTTTGTTGTTACTGTACCAAATATCAATACAGCCTTATAGAAGCCGCTGCACACTGCAGTGTATTTATTTGATAATATAATTTATTCGGGTTCGTAATCAGTATAAATATGTATGCAAGTGCGAACATACAATACTTGATCTACATCTTAAAATTTATTATAAACTAAACTATTAATCGTTAAAAGTCTATAGTGTGCAGCGGCTCTTACGATTTTTTCTCGCACACATTTAATTTGATTGAGAAATGTAAAATAACTTATTTCGATAATGCATTTCAACTTACCTTTATATATGATGCGTATAGTTTTTTATCAGAAGCGTTAACACCCGCGAGTAGTTCCCACACTATGCCCCTAAAGTGATGGGGCACACCTTGTCTAACTAAATCTCGTACAAATTGATTGCGTCTACGCCATTCTGTTTCCCAGTTTCTGACTAGCTTGCCCCAAAGACTCCATAAGTCTTCTTCGCCGTTACTCTCAACCCTTGCTTCGTCATGGCTCGAGCTGGTGGCTAAATGAAATAACGTTAAATGTAATATATGTGGTGTGTATGATAAGAATATATTATAAAAGTTTTTTTTGTTTTATTAATATGTTGGTAAGCATATCATTTTGTAAGCTGGTTCCTGATACTATTATTATCCTATAGCCTCGAGTGCATTTAAAAATATTTAATTATTTTCAAGCGTATGGGTAATTTAAACCTCCAAGTTTGCCTTAGCATGCCGTAACTATGCTTAGTGGAGCTTAAAATATTAAACAATTTTTTTACACAATTTCTAAAGTTACACATTACGTAAAATAGTAATATCGCTAAAAAATATGTTAAGTACAAAATGTTCACTTGCTTTAAAACATTCGCTGGCCTTATATAAATGTTGAAAACTCGCAATCGCTAGCTTTATACAATCTATTGTTTATAGTGATGGTAAATTATAAGTTATAGAACTTATAACTATCAATAGATTTTACTGAATTTAAATAAAATGAATGAAATTAATGTTAATAATACGATTCAAAGTAATTTTAATGTTATGATTTCTAAACACACATTTTCATACATTTGAATTCAAAAAATAATGAGATCAGTAGTTTTAGAGGTTAACTCAAACAAATAAATCGTCTAAGTATATATGATCAAGCTACGGCCAAAAAAGCAAAAATCGTATTGAAAGCAACATGAGCGACTTGACTATTTACGGCAATAATGTTTAATTTGTGTGTTTCTTATAAATATACTAGCGCCTTACCCACGCTTCGCTCGGGTACGTCTCTAGGTACCTACGTTTTAAATAGATATAAATAGTTACTAGCCAGCGTTAGCCATGTGAATTTTTATTTGTGATTTTTCCGATATTTAAATATGTAGTTCTTCTGTTATTCGAGGCGGAGACAAATCCAACAAATCAAAGATCATAAAAATCGGTTCAGCCGTTCTTGAGTTATAAATGGTGTAACATTGTTTTATATTATAGATACTTAATTTAAAAATAACGTTTTTTTATATATGCAGACAGATTAAAAAATCAGCTCAGTTATTTAAGCAAAAGAAAAAAATGCTTTGTTGATCACTAGACTCAGTTTAACATGACGATTAAATTTGAGTGTCGCAAACAATGAAACTAAAATTGCGCATAAAGTAAATGTAAGGCGTTAAGTAAATCAACGCAACGCGGTATGCACATGTGACGCAAGATTTACACCAAAATAATACAAGAGCATAACCAACTTGTATATTTTCTGCTTTAGTTTATATAAATAATATATTATATTAATAAATAAATCTATTCCACGGGAACCGTACATTTTTCAGAGATAAAAAGTAGCCGTGCTATTCTAGACTATAATCTATGTATGTATCTCTGTACCAAATTTTATCCAGATCCGTTTAGTCGTTCTGGCGTGATGGGAGTAACAAACATCCATCTAAACTTTCACATGTATAATATTAGTAAGATAATAAGATTGACCTTCAATAATTATAATTAATCAACCTCTTCAATTTACCCATATCTACATATATTCTATATATTGCAGGAAGATAAGCCCACATTTAAGTGTATATTATGAATAAGGCGTAAAAGTTTGTATTAAAGTTAGTAATTACTACATGAATCAAGTTAAAATTGGTGTACATTATAGTCAGTCATTCTATATATCATCTATATATAAAATCTATATAAACTAATGCAACCAGAGATTGTGCATGTTAGATGACAGTTTGCTTTTTTTAACAGACAACAATGAGAGAAACATTAGAATAATGAAAAATGGTAGAAGAAAATTTGAAAATTAAATTCGCGAATGGCACAGGAGCTTTAGGACAATAGATTTTGCGTAAATTTTAACTAAATTCCAAATATCACATCACATACATTCAAATATAAAGTCGTGTGCAAAGTTGAGTAAATTATTTTTAAAATAAAAAAAAATACTTTACCTGAAGCCAACGAAATCTGTGAGGTGTCGGAGTTCTTTCGACTGTGCACAGTGGTTAACGAGGGGCACTTTGCGTCCGCCTCGATTCTTCTGTTCTCTTCCTCCAGTTTGGCGAGCAATGCCCGCTCGGGCGTCGGGATCGAATCTGAGGTGGTTACACCGCAATCTGTCGACGATATACATAATAACTACTTTCCACTCTACATGTCTCTATTGTTATTAGTATTTTGTCCTACATATATTCTTTGGCTTATTAGGTATTTTATACATAAATATATATACCAAATACATTGTCATATAGATTGAATCTATATCCAATAATACATTCGACATCGTTCGGTTTACATTGTTAGTCAATTTCATAATTATCTACTATAGGTAAATTGTAATTTTAAATAAAACTATAATTTCGCATTATTTCACGGATTTATTTAGATTTTTGGTTCCCGACGTTTCGGATGCGTTACAGCAATCATGGTCACGGGTCAATAATATGATCACGGTTATGTTATTAATTAATAAAGTCCTTTAAAAAAATTGTAATATTTATAATAATAATAGCTAAAATGAAATAAATAATATTACTTTATTTAATTATAATACTTATTAAAAACATATGTTTAGAATTAAAATTAACCAATATTGTAAGGAACTCTGGTGCCATTTTTGAAATGTTTTTTTTGTAAAATTGTGGGTAGGCACTGTCTTTAACAAGTATATAACGCCATTGAGATGTCTAAAACCTTGACCATGGTTGCTGTAAAGCATTTGAAACGTCGGGAACCGAAAATCAAAATAAATCCGCGAAATAATCCGAAAAGATAGTTTTATTTAAAATGTCAAATATTAAATTGTTATTATTTTAATTAATGCATAATGAATTAATTTCATTGACCTAATATTTATATATTAATAGTTCCTACTAATTATATATGTTTCGAAATATTGGATTAATAGGCATTATAGAGATTTTCTTACATGTAAAAAGTTTTACTTTTAATTTAATAATAAAAAAAATACTTATTTTATAAATAATATATCGACCGTTGATTTTAAGATAAGCAAATTAGTCTACTTTAATAAAAGTATTTAATATGTAAGGATATATATTAGAAGCGTTAGTAAATACACTAGTTATGGCATTCCCCGACCGAAGTTAGGTGATCAAGTGCGTATAAGTCCAAAGACGCTGTGTTATTATTTTTAAATGTAGTTAGCAAGTGCGAGTTTAAAGCTGTGTTTTGTTAGATAAATAGTGCAATGTAGGCGTATATACAGTGCAGTCTTGAATTATGAGAATTTCTGTCTGCTGCCTTATTCATGTATTGGTATAAAAATAGGAAAAGTTCTGACCCTAAATCGAAATGCAACTAATATATGAATCGCGTGTAGAGCTGTTATCAATTTTCTATAAAACGGCATAAAACATGATTATTACTAACACTACAAAAATATTTCATTCAAATTTAACCTTATAACCTTTATTTATAAGAGCTTACCAGACTCGATATCCCACGTGTATATCCTTCGTTACGTTAATAGATGTCTAAAGCAGTAGTTCTTTAATGTCCCAACCAGACAGACCGAAATCCTCACGCATATTAGTGTATTAATAAGCCAACAAACCGTCAAGGAATGAGACAGGCGACTCTGTATTACTAGGAATCGGAGTAGCACTGCAGGCGGCGGCTTCCCTGGCATCCACGTCCACCTTCATGTTGAGCCCTCTGCCATATAACGGGCACGGGAGCACCTCTCTGCACCACAACTTCACGTCAGATCCTTGGCTCTACTAATATCTATACGATTTCCCTTATGTATTACTTTATCATTCAGTTTATTTCCCAATTGAAAAAGTTGTGGAACACTCTACGACGCAGCTGTTTTACTTCGGTTTAAAAAAAAAAAAATTCATTTGCCTGAATTACACGTGAATCATCGAGCGATGATATACAAGCTTTGTGAATGTTCAGATTATGGACCAAGGTGCTATATTTTAATGAGCTCTTAATAACAAACATTTATTCGGTTTACATTTTACATAACAGGCGTTCATTTATGACCAAATACCGAAATGATCTAGGCAGTGCATACATGCATATTATGGATCATATGACAAAGTTTATGATTAGAACCCAGGGATACTTCCACCGTGGATAGCAATTTTTTAACATGCCAAAAGGACACGTACATTAAATTCTACTTTGGACTCGCACTAACAAAAGTATGAATAATAACATATCACGGTAGTTGGGCACTATTCGTCATGGGAAAATAGTTTCATTACTATATACCTATATAAAAATAAAAATAGAACTGAAGATACATTATTGCGTTTAAAATTTTAGATACTCACAGCCTTACGTAAGCACTAATTAAGCCGTTGTCTGAATCTTCAGGGAAATTAAACAATTTTAAACCGCAAAGATCTGAATAATGCCTACCGATGTAGCTCTAATATGCCTTTTCACAACAACACAAGTCTAGCATAATGTAAGAAAATCTTCATTTAAACACAATTATTTTCACGACAGTACATATGATGAAGCTGAAGATCGCATGAGTTTTGATGAAGTCGCGTAGGTGAAAGTTGGTGATACGCGCGGCAGTCGGCCGACCACTAAGCATGAAGGCCGCTCGTCCGTCACTAGTAGGGTAACAACGATGTTGTTTAGGAATTGAATGTATATGTATGGTATATTTAACAATCATTAACATTGGTACTCCCTTTGGTTAATTAAATGTTGTTTTTTTGTCTATAGAAATAAGGAAACATTTTATATTTTATAAGATATTCATATCCAAATATGCTGAAATCTGTCTAATATTTAGGTATTTGTCTAATTGATCACAATACGGTAAAATAAATCACTATGAGCGTCTCCGCTCTGCACCGCGTTACCGACTAATGCCTTTGTAAGACGATTTAAAGCTATAGTACATTTTCTACGCAAAGACGACAAATCAATAATAGTATAATTCTCTGTTTCTAAATGTTTCGATTTAGATCTACTCGTAGAACCAAGTTTACGAATAGCCTGTTTTGTATTAAACGACATGATGCTATTATAAATAAAACAGGGTTCGAAACGATAATTATCATTGATAATTATCTTTGATAATTATCATGATAAATATGGGTTGATAATTATCTTTGATAAATATAATTGGAAATATTTAATTTGTAACTCTTCAAATTGTCGATCAGCAAACAGAACTCTCTCAATCAGCCAGGGTATGAAATTATCAAGATAAATATATCTTTTGATAATTATTGCGATAATTATCAAGATAATTATCAGGTAATTATCCGATAATTATCAAACAGAACAAACTGAGCAAACCTTGTGAGATTTTGGTATTTGTTTACTTGCATATCATAATTTACGTTAGAATAAATTGTACACTTTTAACAATCAAGGTAATCTTTTATTATTATTGTTTCATTATTTTGACATATACAAACTTGGAAATAAAAACAGAATAAATTTAACTAACTATATAGACACTTATTTAATTAAATTAATGGTCCCTGCCCACTATATCGTCTCATACCATGACCGTGCTAGGGCCGTGTCAGACAAAAAAATACCCTTTGTATTGAAAAGTATGAGACTATGCCCACTAAACCCACTAAACCTGTTGTTAACAATCCACGCACGGCACGCGACGGTGTTGGTCGGTGACGGAAAGGTCTTGGTCGGGAGATGGAACGGTCTAGTGGGCGTAGTCTCATATTCTTCAATACAAAGAACATCTTTTTGCCTGATACGGTCCTAGCACTGTCATGGTATGAGACGGTGTAGTGGGCAGAGACCTTTAATTTAATTAAATAGTGTCTATAGAGTTGGTTAAATTTATTCTGTTTTTATTTCTAAGTTTGTATATGTCAAAATAATAATAAAAGATTACCTTGATTATTAAAAGTGTATAATTTATTCTAACGTAAATTATGATATGAAAATAGTTAAATACCAATACCTACACAAAGATTGCTAAGTTTATATCTGTTTGATAATTATCTGATAATTATTTTGATAATTATCGCGATAATTATCAAAAGATATATTTATCTTGATAATTTCATACCCTGAAATAAAATAACACTAAAACGAAAGACTTTAACAAAAGTAATTAACGCTTACAAAACGGTTTAAATACCTACACCGCGCCCGGCGAGCAACAGTGTAAGTTCGATGTCGCACGTAATGCAGTAGGTATAAAAAACGCAACGCAAAATATACGATATATAGATAAAACGACTCAAATGTTTACGTGTGTGTATAAACGATAATATTATATTGTCAATTCGAATATTTTAGAAATAATTCTAAAATCGATTTATTAACAAATATAACGCGGGGTTTTTAGAAACAACGGTGATCGCGGGGTATCGTGTCGGACCATGTACAATCCTGTAGGGCCGTGTTTTGGTGCGACCGTATAGTTTAGGCGCCATTATTACAACACGAGTTGAAATATGTAAAACACGCTACGTGACAATGATTTTTTATATAAGATCTGTAACAATAACGAATCGAAGTTAGTACAGTCAGATAATATACATACATAAATGCCGATAACTATAAAAAATTGTTAATTTATGCACGCGACATAAGATCTGTACAAAACGCGTGGACGAATGGTATGGACGTGGCGATAGCGTATTCAAGATTTGTAGAAAGGGTGTGAACGATCGGAAATAAATAATAATGAATTAAAAAATGCAAAATGGGCGAATGAGTTTTAAATTCTACGTATTTAACTGTTTAACTTGAATGCACAAAAATTTGATTTTATGAAAATAACTACTCAAAATGATACAAAAAAGGGTGCTTTCCCGGGTTTCGGCACCAAAAAGATGTACGGGAGAGGTTCTGCCGTAGAGACCCCGTCCGGCCCTCTGGGTCAGAAGGATCGACCTTCTGCCTATATTAACGATGGAACCTGGTAAGAAAAGATCGGTACTTACAGGCAGAATCCTCCAGGTCCCGGACTTGATGAGAGCGCTCTTCAAAGCTGAATCTGAGCTGTGCCAGTGGTGTGCACACCCTTCCACTCTAAGTCCTGGTTATTGCGTGTGTCGTCCACGACGTCCCTTCCGGTAATGATTGAGGGCCACGGCCGCCGCGCCAGTGCGCAATGCACACGGCGCGTGCGGCGCGCTGGGCTAGGCGGACGTTCGTTGCGTTTAGAGAGCGAGCGAGTAAGCATGAAATGGGTATGTGGGCGAGTAAGAAAGAGAAAAATATATGTTGCTGATGCGTTATTACTTGTAAACAATATTATACCGTCGAATACGACTTCGTGACCTTTTAAAATAAACCTTAAGTCCTAAAACATAAAGTTTTGATTTTCTTATTAATTTGAATTTGTAGCAGGTCACAATTTAACAAAAATCACGAAATGAAATGAAATATGAGAGTAACAATAGTTGACACTTGACAGTAATGATATTATTTTACTTGTCGCGCTAAATGATTTATAGACCAGGGTAGAAGCCTTTAAAAATAATAAAAAGTGAAAAAAAAAATAGTAGGATGCAACCCATTAGAAAAGGAGGGGAATATTATAAAAATAATTTACGGGCGATCTGAGGTCGGGAAGGGGATGGGGGTGAGGTTTTAAGGGAAAAAACGGGTTTTCTCGATTTCCGGCAAAACTAAAAGTCCTATCGAAAAAAGTCAAATGGCAAAGTTGTAGGTAATAAAAAGATCTAAAACTTTTGTATTTACACTTTTTTCACATAACCTCAAGATTTATGTGAAAAATTCAAAAAACTAAGTTTTTGGTTTTTTAATTTTATCTTTCACAAAAAAAAAATTGTATTAACGAAATTTGGTGAAAACTTACCTTTTTATGTCCCCAATACGCTGTAATTTATTTGATTAAAAATAATATTTATTTTTTCACCTTATTTTGAATTAATATCGAAAAAGCACCCTAATTTTCAATCGAAAATTCACCCGTCAAAATATCAGCATTTTTTAAAAAGTTGGTATGTTTTCTGTTCGTTGAAATCTCTACTTTCCGATGGTGAAAAAAAATTATATGTTACTTTAGTAAATCTTCTGAGAAAATGCAAAAACAAAAAACCTTTTTTATTTCATACACTTGCTTATCATCTGCTTTATTGCAGATGATACAAACATGTTCATCCAAACTGATAATCTGAAAAGACAAAATCGAATTAATAATGTCTTCACTATTTTATCGTGAGTATACCCCCATGAAAAAAAATATTAAAGAAATAAATGTCAAAATGTATAAAAAATATATTATAAATATATTAAAAATATACGTAATTTTATCATATGATAATGATTTAAAAGTAGCAATCATTAATTCCATGCTTACTAGCGGCCTGCCGTATGCTCGTACTATAGAGCTCCGCTCTGACCCCACCAGATTCCATCGACACGACCTACCCACGAATTAAACGAATAGTGAACACACTCATAGTTTTAATAACAAAAAAAATAAAAACCGACTTCAAACAAAAGCACTAAAAAGTAAAAAATAACTGATTGGTAGTTTTCATTTACTATACATACCTAATGAAATATTTTCGAAGTCGGTGTGCTTTGCTTTGTATGGGCTGGCACCGATTTCGAAAATATTTGATTAGATATGTATTTAATAGGTAGGCTTTAATTACTTAGCCAAAGCACACCGACTTCGAAAATATTTGATTAGGTATGTATAGTAAATGAAAACTACCAATCAGTTATTTTTTACTTTTTAGTGCTTTTGTTTGAAGTCGGTTTTTATTTTTTTGTTAAAAAGTTTTTATTTTTCCCTTTTTAGTGTAGACAGTAGTAGCAAAGTAAGGATTCTAATGTGTTAGGCTTGTCAAATCAAACAAAATAAGCCCAAACTCAAAGTATCTACTATTAGCCGTTGAAGAGTTCCACCTATCCACCTTCTGGCCTTGCCATCAGATCAGGTCAACAACACTGAACCACTGTACTATCAACGGAAATAGAAATACTAGCAAAGTTTCAAGTCAATATGACAATTAGAAGTAGGTTAAATTCATCATTAGTTGTTTTTCCACCCTTAGGGGTGGTATTTTTTTTGAAATTTAAATGGGACCAATCTGGAAGTATACCCTTTCAAACAAAACAAAAATTGTCCAAATCGGTTAATAAATGACGGAGTTCTGAGGTAACAAACATAAAAAAAAACATACAGTCGAATTGAGAAACCTCCTCCTTTTTGAAGTCGGTTGAAAAACAATATCATGAAACCTTACCGACGTCATAGCCCGAGAGCTCGTGACGAATTTTGGGAAAGTCATTTTGGGAAAGTTGAAATTGTGAAAAAATATAATTTCGTGAATTGGCGAGTCCAGACCCGCGAGTCTGGTATAGCTTTAGCGGTTATTTCGTTACGGCGAAGTATAATCATTTTCAAAAAAATATATCCTAAAAACATATTTTTGGCAACTTGATTTTTATTTAATCTTTTAATTTAGTTTTCATATAATTCATAAAAAAGAACCCCAGACGTTATTGTCGGTTATAAAGTATTGCTAGACCTCTCCAAAGATGCTTTATTAAAATTCCCAAAAAATATACTTTTGGCAATCTGAAATTTTAATCACGTATTTATTGAGTAATTTTTAATAATACTTTTATAAATATTAAAATTTTATACTGGCATGCTTATTTCACTTTAATTTAATTTTATTTCACTGTTGATTTCCTCTCTCTCTCTTTGGGTATCGCTTGTGGTGAACGGTCGTGTTAATATTATATTAAGATAACATTAAATATTAAACAAGTTTGTAATTAAAATATTAAGCTAATAAAGTACACCAAAGACCTAATAATTGTTTTATGGCGCAGCCGCTGATTCGAGCTGATTTCAATTAAAAGGTATACCTAAAGAACGGGTCGACCACGTTGCACGTTGCGAATGGAGGCACTGAAGGTTAAGATGTCAGAAGATTTTACAATGGAGGTCGATAATATGTGTGCCATTGAGTATAAAATGCCGAAAGCATCAAATTTGGATAATATTGACAATAGTTATCCGCAATGGCAGCGTTTCAAACAAAGTTTTAAAATTTTCATGATGGCGGCAGGCTTTGAAAAATTATCAGAGACCAGAAAAGCAGCGACATTACTTAATTGTGTGGGTCAACAAGCTCAAGAATTATATTTTAATGTATTAAAAATGGAAGAAAAACCTAAATTAGATGATGTCATAAACGTGCTGGATAATTATTTTGAACCAAAGCAAAATGAACTCATTAAGAGTTATAATTTCAATAAACGGTACCAAGAAGATGGGGAATCGTTCGACGCATTTACTCAGTAATAAGATAAATGGCAGAAAATTGTAATTTTGGTGATCAAAAAGAACGCATGATACGGGACAGAATATTCATCGGAGTCAAAGAGCAACGGATACAGCAGAAGCTTCTCGAGGTGAAGGACCTTACGATGGCCAAAGCAGTGGACATCTGTCGGTCTGCTGAGCTGTCCAGAGAACAATCCGTAAGTAAATTATTATCCATGACTGGACTACGATTTGTGCTCATCCTACAAATGAATGCCCCCAGCGGGACTAGAAGCCGCGATTGCTGGCGCAGCAAGTAGGGTAGCTACAAACTGAGCCAAACGTAATAAACTATAATACGTAACATAACTGAGTAAACGTATGTAATATACCATACATACCATAAAATAGAGCATACATATAACAGAGGGAAGCCTTCGTTCAGCTAGGGATGGTAAGATTTTGAGCTTGCCGTTTAAACAATTTGAGTCTAAAATTAAAAATATATTAGAGAATAAGGCTTATTATACTGTCACGGAACACTTCGCAGATATCAAGGTGTGGAATTAATGTCTGGTTGGGTCTCACGTAGGATAAATAGATCATTATTGTATTACAATATTGTACACAATTATTATTTTTAAAAAAGCTATTGTTGAGTTTCTCGCCGGTTCTTCTCAGCAAAACTGCCTTTTCGAGTCGGTGGTAGATTCCTCACGGACTGAATATACTGACATTTAAATTTAAAATGTAAAATTGACGATTCAAAAGAGCTTTTAAAAGTCTATTTGAATAAAGTAAGTATATTTTGATTTGATTTGTACCTCTTATAATATGATGCTCACTCGCGGTTATGACTGATGATCATTAAGATATCCATGTTTCTTTTCGCTTACTTGATATAATAAAGTCGATCTCATTCTTGGACATTTAAGAACATGATTCTTAAGGCTTAGCAAGGCCTACCTTCGAGGAAATTTACCAGCATTTAGAAAATAAGTTTCTGCGCCAATGTCCAAATAAACTTACCCTCGTCTCAACATTTCCTTGTACTTTTTTGGCATTGAATTTGCCTATGATTGATATGTAGGGTTGTTAATAGGCATATATTATATTGATTTTAAATGTATTAAAAAAATATGCATAACTCTAGATAAAGTTAAAATAAAGAGATATAAAAATTGTACTGATACAAGTACAGCGGGCTTGCATAGTGTTAAAAATGAAGTTATATGTATATTTTTAAATATTAAACCTTACAGATTTGTGTTAAAGTTCATTTTGCCATAGTCCATATTTTAAGCACTGCTCTAGATTTATTTGTTATCACTTAAGATTAACTAATCATTGAGCATTGACTGTAACTTTCTTTATGATGCTGATTGTATATGTAACATCTGGTATAATGAACAAAAGCAATGAAATACGTAGGTAAGTTTGTAAAATCAAAGCATCATCATATTATACTGTATTTTTCTATTATTATTTTTGTTAAATTGTGTAAAGTGAACATGGACTTAATAAAACAAAAAGTATATTAAACAGAGCAATTTATTACTTAAAATACACGAGGTTACAGTTTGGATCTACTATTACCAATAAATATGAAAATACGTCATCATTTAAAAATATTATTCGAGTCGACACGATAATTGATTAAGTGGACAAATTAATACATTTATTTGTAGCAACTTCTGTTGCTTTCTAGCAACCGCGGTGTTACAAGAACAAGAAAAAGAAGGAAGTAGAGAAAAAGAAAGAAGAGATTTAAGGATAAGGCGAGACAAAGGGGAATAAAATAAAGTGATCGATAATTACCATCTAAACTGACGACACACGAACACGTGTACACGCCTAGAACAAGATTCAATGTTAACTTGCAACGACCCATCGAGATAAAGGCTCAAATCAAAGGCAAATCAAATTTTGCTGATAAATGTTGAATTCATACTAATTTAAACTTTTGGAAATTCATGTCCATAGTGTGAGGCACCATACAAATTGAAAAGTGCCGCTGATAACGGCGTCATGGAAGAAATTTTATGACATAAGAGATTGTTTAGATAAGAGGGAGTATCAGCATTTCTATATGGAATTGGCCTTAGCTTCTGTTCCAAATATAAGTTCGTGAAGGATAAATTCTCAGCCATATTGGAGGAGAGAGAAGTGTTGGGTATACGTCGTAAGTACAGGGCAGATGGCAAAAATACATTAATGTAAGCGTAGTAAGTAGTAAAACGATTGTATTCAAGTCAATTATCATGTCGACGACATACACAAAATAAGTAGATGTAAATAAAATCTGCAATACTGCGTCGAGGGAGCTGACACAGATGTATTAAATATTCGGTCCCACAAAGTATATCTTTAAAAGGTTTCTTGTTGAAATATTAAAATTATCACGTAAAATAATAACATTAGATCACTTGTAAAGCAATTATATCTATGGTCGATGTACTGCGTGTGAGACGTTGGTCGCTGTTGGTTTAGTTTTATATACGGCAGACCTCAAGAACATATCTATCCGTGGTTCATCATGAAAGAGATAGACATTCGATATTAGTTCCATACAAATTATGTCAAATCTAGTAAGAGAGGAGAGTCACAGATATATAAATTAATGAAAATCACCTAAGTCTTATTTCAACATGTGATGTTCTTTTAAAGTTGTACATTTTAACATACATTTCGTTATAGTAGAATATATATAAAACATATCGAAAACTCAATTCCTGTAAATTAACTCTCTTCTCCATTAGTGTGTGTATATTAAAATGTACAAAAATCTTTAACAGTGAATAAAACTAACAATAAAGGTGTTTTACACAGCTCTATAGCATTAACATTATAAATAGAAATAATATTATAAATACAGCGACTCACTTCGCTAGGTACGTTTTAGCGGTTAGTAATTCTCATACAAAATAAACATCTCTAAACTTTTCGAATTTCCAGCAGTTTTTTTTTGGGTTTCCCCTATTTTTTTAATTTTAAACCACCCCTGACACACCCCCAACAAAACAAAAAAAGAATTATTCAAATCGGTCCAGCCGCTATTGAGTTTTAGCGAGACTCACGAACAGCAATTGAATTTTTTTGTTATATATATTATATATATATATATATATATATATATATATGTATGTATATATATATATATATTTATATATATATATACATACATACATACATACATACATACATATAGAGCAGATATTAAATGTGTAGATTAGTACAGCCACATTCCGCAGTAAATAGACCACAGTTACAATTTCGTGGTAGATATTATAAAATGCTACTTGTATTTTACTTAATTTTTATATAAATAGATATTATAAAACTACAAAACCGAAGGCATCACCCTATAACTTCTAACAGATTATACAGACTTAATATATCCTATCGTAAACTCACCGGCTACTTCATATGATGACTTGCTGTCCAGCTTAATTCGACATTAGTATTTGGCATATGGTTTTCGATTGCAATTATTTATTTATATCTCAAAACACTGATATAAAATAAACAAAATTTAATATTCGATTGAGATTTCTATTGCACGTACACGTTCATTACTTACTAAATGTCTTATTAAACATACAAATCAACACATGGAAAGAAAAATATTGTAACTTAGTATTGTGGTAATTTAAAAAACACTTGTTATTTTTCTATATACTTGTACCACTTATACCAAATTTTTAATTTCATTTAAATATATTAATTACTGTTTGATATTTGCTATACATATTAAATTATACGACACGTCTATCAGTAAGTACAATTTGACGTTTGCTGAATATATTTAAGGTATTTTAAATCAAATTAATATTTTGGTACGAGTGACCATTAAAATTCACACAGAATTGCTACAACAGAGAGTTACAACGTTGTTCCTTGCACATGTCGAAGAGTCCACATAAAGTCTCTAATAACGTATTTATATATGTATATACAACTATAAAATAAAAATATACTTATGGTGCTTGTTTAAATAAATAGTACGTTAAGTTATTAAAACATAAATGGATTTGAAAATTTTAAAACAGCATCAATTTCATTGATTTATATAACTTAGACGTTTTATTTCCCTACAAAATTAGTTATAACTTTAAAGCAACGAGTCATAAATTACTCAGAGCTGACAAAATATTATGTAAAAATATATTATAAAACTGTTTAAAAATTTATTTAAAAATCTATGATAAGTGATTAATAAAATATACGCGCTTAAATAATATAAAAATTCGAAATTAGAGAAACATAATAAGAAAATATATTTTTAACTATTAATACATACATACATACATGGTTTGGGCCAATTCCTTAGGATTTCACGCGTTACTTGTCCCCATATTACGTTTCGCTTGGTTGGTGGGTCCAACTACGCCCAAATATGGCCACGTGACTGCCTAACACGCTATCACAGTCTACTAATCCATACGGCCGTCTAACTAAGATGTCTCCAAAAAAATTTTATATTTTTTTAAAGGACAATCATGCATGGCTTGCGACGAGAGATGCGGATGAGATGCTTCCGACTGATATATGTACTTTTAAAAGGTATAGGTAAAACTTCACCTTTTCCCGACAGTCATGTAGTTCATGGGTAGAACTATAACTTGCCACGAGACGACACTAAAGCACTTAACTTCGAAACCGTTCGCTATGAAAATTGGTATTTTTAAGATATTTACTGGGATTTTCGTTAATCTTAAGATTAACAACAAAGGCGATCACCAGCTATATGGATTTTTATACTGTGACGCTATACACGTTGCAGGTGCGGATCTATATATAGGCTTTTTGGGCCCCGGGCCCCTATAAATGTAACAGGCCCCCTATTGAAAACAATGAATAGTATAGTGAATTTATAAAATAAAAAATATATAAGCAAACAATATCTGCCTTAATTTTGTTTAGTACTATCCATAATTATAGATTTTACAAGACAAAATGACAATTAGTTTAGGCCCCCAAGAGCTGTTAAGCCCAGCCCAGGCTACTTGCGAGTTAATTTGCCTTTCTTTTTATTATATTTGGGGACATGGCTACTGATCGGGACGTATACGAACGCTCTGCGTTAGATTTTAGTTAGGGGAATTGCCTATACGCGTACACATATACTTTAAGAAACATTAAAGAATTTTGATTCTATAATATTTGGTGCAATTCAAAGTGATACTTTCGACTTGCGAACGTTATTGCAATATCTTACACTCTTCTTCTTCACACCATAATTGACAATCTTAATTAAAGACTTCATTTTGTAAATAAGTTGTAATTAAACATTAGTGATATTGCGAATATTTTATATATTAAAAGAAGTAGAGAGCACAATGAAGTGTTCTACAAAACCAAGTTTCGTTTCATTCTCATCTATATATGTACGTAATAATAGAATATAAACGATTTGGCGCTTGTCCTAAAGTGTATTTTAATAAATATAAATTATAAGTCTACATTAAACAAATAGCTTATAAGTTAGAAAATTATGAGTATTATTGACGTTTGAATCAATATATTAATAACCCTAGAACAAGATAATTAAATAAGTACAAAAACATTTTGTCTAATTATGTTATGTTTTATCGATTTTAAATAAGCTTTTTTAAATTTAACATTACACAAAAACAGTCCGTAACTGATTTCATTGGTTATATATTATTAAAGGATCTCATATAAATAAATATAATTACATTATAAATTAACATTTTAATAGACAAATACAAGAAATTAAGATAATTCTTCTATTAGTATATAATTCGGATGTTGGAGCTGTCAAAAACGTAAATCGCTAAGTTTAATTATATCAAAATATGTACAAATTGATAATATACGATTAACTCGCACCACGGCGACCATCTAATATACCATATAATGGAATGTGAGGTTTTTATCAAAGAATCAACGTCATTTATGTCACATACCTAAATAACAACAATAATAAAAAAAAAAACACAAGGAAACATACAAAGTCAAAATTAATTTTGTTTAATACTGAGAGAGAAAAAAAAATACGTAAAAAAATATATTTAAAGGATGGAATCAAAAATACATAAAGGCAGGTTGAGATAGAAAGCGAAAAGATCTAATTTTATATATTTTATTTGTACGCCAAATATTGATTTTAGAGATCACTAAAAATTTTATTTAATTTAGACATTAATCGACACTGCGTCAAGCTCTATTATTTATTTAATTGAATTGACAACGCCGGCTGGAATTTTTGTGTTTATTTTTTTTTAATTAAACTTATTTCTAAATTCTTGTCATGTTTAAGTCGACTTCACGTCAGAATTGTTTATTAAGCTCAAGTATAGACAAGTAGAAGACGGAACAATGTTAAAAGAGCTAAGTAGGATATTCATATCATTGTAATAAAAACGTCAGTCATACAGTACATATAATAGAATTCTAAATTCGATTCATACAATTGGGATTATTATTATTATATTATATAAGATTGGCATCAAGAATTGGAAACTATGGGGGTCTACGCTAAGAGAGTAAAAGATAAGTGTTATTTATTATTACTATTACAGTCTAAGTCTAACAATAAAAACTTCTAGAGAAATACGTGCCAAATGTTTCGTTTCTAAGAAAAAAAACTAGCCGCAAATTTGTGCTTACCTATTCGATTATTCAAAACATAGTACTAACACAAATGAATGGGTACTTTATGAAGAACGAGGTGAATCTAGTGATGAAACGTAAGTGTACTAAAATTGCGGCTAAACTACAAATTTTTCAAATTGACTTCATGCAAATCGACGCTCAGTACAATAAGTTGAGATTTGAGATCAGTGGCTTGGGCCGTTGCGACGCAAAGAGATCGGAACGAAAAAGATTAAATGAACACGACACGTAATTTCCAAAGAACGATATCCTTTTAAACAACCTGCCTCATTCCATACATCCTTTTAGGCACACCACATCGTTATTTTGTTTATTAAATCACTATCCAATAGCCAGCTTAAAAGATCATCCTGTATATAAAAACAGCTGTAGGTCTTGAGAATTATTCGTATAAAAAGCCAACAATGTCGGAGCCCATGTGCAATAATTAAACTATAATAACACAAAAACTGGTTAAGTAAGAATCGGGATTCCGAAATAAAATGTATTGAAAATATAACAATATACTCAACATGTACTTACACATACATATATTATGCATCTGAATTAAAAGTACTGAGAGTGAGTGTTACGTCTTTTTACTTAGGTCTAGCGATGCCGATGATTCTCTACGAAGGATTAGTTTTAGTTTGTCGTCTTCTTCGAGATCCTCTTCGACTGAAACGGTCCTGCTGAGGGTATGGCCCAGGACCCGTGCCTTCCACGCCTCTAATCTCAAGACCTAATAAAGTAGGAAAATTAAAAAAAAAACTTAATATTTTACTATAATTTGACTGCAAAACTAGTAATTTTACTTTATTCGTATGTTGTATTGTTAGAACTAAATCATGTGCATTCAATATAAGGTTAAATTACGATTTCCAAAAATTAAATTATATTTAAGAAAATATTTTAGGTTCAAATAAAAAAAAATGTCTATAGCTTCACTAGTTTTGCTGTCAAACTATAACGTTGTTGTTGTTGTCGTTGTACTATGAGTTTGAATATTCCATGCTTAATATACCTGAGATTTCTAATATACGTATTCATGAATACCTCTTTATAGACAAAATTAAAAATATGTAAATATTTATGTAATACTCTTTAGGTAGATTGTATTAAAGAGGCATCCATAAAAGAAGAAAATGTCTAAATACGGACATTCACAGCAAGTGCCTTTGAGAACTGCGTAGAAGAATTAGCTTTAGGACGCTTTCGTTTGAAAGTTAAAAAAAAACCGTATTACAGCTTTCTTCATCTACCAGTACTCTGTCACCATCAAAAGGTTTTCAAGTTTATTTTTATTTTAATATAAAAATTTAACTTTCTTTTGTTGCTGACCGTACTTGCACTCAAAATATACCCACGTCAATCCTGAGCATTACATAAAAATCCAACAAGCACAAATTCAATGTATCTATTTCTCAGTAGTGCTTTTTACCGAAACATTGACTCAAATCCCTTGCATTTAACTACTTATACATAATTCAGATTTCCAATAACACCTAGCTCTAACTATAAACCTATAAAACGTATATAAACTAATACCTCAATAATTATAATGTTAAATGAAGCACGTGCGGTTAATTTAATGCAGATACCCAATCCATATAAAAATAACGAGCGACATGCAAACATGATGTATACGTGTATGAAAAACAAACAAGCAAGCAAAGAAGAACAAAATTAGTGTCCAATGACTGTGTTAACCTATTTTTTTTAATTTTAAAATTATTTTATTCACTTTTTTATGACTCTAGTCAAAATAATGTAATCAAAATAATACAAAGCTCGCAGGGTATATGAGCCGAGAACGAATCATAATTAATATGAAAAAAAGAAAAAAAAAGAAAAAAAACTTTATCAAGTTTCTCCGAACAATTATATTATTATTATTTCCATAGCTTTAAATATTATTATAATCGAATACTGTAGAATGATAGCTTAGCACAGCCAATAGAACCATCAAACCAAGCCAACACAATACATACAGATTGAACTGAAAATTTTCTCCTTTTGGTAGAATAGCAAAAAATGAATAAAAAAACATCACGCGAAGTAAAACATTGCGGCTATTTGTACATACATAATGTACAACATTAGTGTGTTGACCTTTGTAATTTTATTGATAAAAATATTTTGTGAAAACGGTCTGGTGAATGACTTTATTCATATAAATATGTTGTGAGAACAGTTTAGTGTAGTGGTTAGATACTTGTTTATTACACAGTGGGGCGCACGTTCGATGCTCGATCGTAATAACAATTAATAGGTGCTATTAGTATATGCTTTACAATATTATTATATAAATAATAATTTATACTTTTCTCTTGTAAAACGACCAAATGACAAAAAACATAAAAAAATTAGCCATAAAACTTGACGTTATTATGACGAATTTTTAATACATTTCAAACATTACGCACACGACCAACTCAGTAGCAAATCAAAGTATCAAAATATTAAGTTAACTGTGTGCGTAAATTAAGGTCAACACACAAAACGAACACGTACTGATGCAAATAATTTCGCGCATCGTCGAACCATTTCCAGGGCTCCCCGTCCGGCGTAGTGATGGGTGTCGGGTACTGTGCAAACATAACTCGTCATACAACCACACGATACCAAATTATACATACATACATACATACATATATATTATTATACATGTGTGTATTATACACTTTGTCTACACTTTGTACTCAATAGACGGTCCAACGTATACTGTAAACACTGTATATATATATAATTGAAGCTAATAACGGTCGAAACGATGTGCCAGCATATTATATGTCAAAGTTCGATAGGAACATTGATTGAACACGTAACAAAATGTTACATATCAAAAGGAACCGTTATCTTCTACGGTTAGCCTCAAATAGAAAGTTGGTACGAATATTATGAAATATTTTGTATTGAGTACAAAGTGTGAAACCATGAATACTTTTATCAGTCTGAGTGGCGAATATTTTTTAGTTCAACGCCAATAACATGTTCACGAACGGCAATTGTGTTATAGTAAAAAATCGAGAAAAAGACTCGTAAACTGTTGATGTAAGAGATCTTGTGTACAAAATAAACATTACATTATTATCGTGCTTAGATAAAACATTTACGTTATTGTTGGTATGAAATTAGAGTTATTTTTGTATAACGATACGAGACGGGTCTGAAATATATACATATAAAAAAATTCTAACTAAGCCGGACCTGTACATTAAATATTTTTTGGAAAATCTTATTTAAATAGACATTATTATCGATACAGAAGCCGAATCTATCGTTTTTAGAATTTTTGTCTGTCTGTCTGTTACCGCATCACGGATAAACCACTCGAGGGATTTTGATGAAATTTGGTATGGTGATAGCTGGTTATCCGGGTCAATATATAGGATACTTTTTACCGCGGGAAAATATCTCATTTCTGAGAAAAAATACAAAAACTGCAATGTAAGAGTATGCTAATATGTAAAACCTAAGAATTTCGTTTTTGATCATCTGAACGCGGGCGGAGCCGCAAGCAATGCTAGTATGTAAATAAATTCCAGACAGAGTGCAGTTAGGCAGGGCTGGTATTATATACAAGTGATTAACTTTTGTCAGGCTATCCAATGGAAAACAGTAAATCTAACAGATATTTGAATTTAACAGTCATTCTACTCGTAATTCGTAAATAAAACTTAGTCAAAGTTATTTATAATTTGCCTATTAATAGAAATTTTACGAAATTATATTTAATGAATTTTTATTATCATATAAATTTAACATATTTATATACAGAAAATGGCAATGTATCGAGGTGAAAGTTTATTAATTTTATTTAAAATAAACACCTAATTTAACTTACTTCAATCGTTATTTGAGCACAAGAAAATATAAATAATCTAATAGTCATTTTGTACAAATATATTATATACGATGACCCTAACAGAGCATGAATTACTATGTATATTTAACATCCTGCATACTAAGAATATTTAAAAGAAAGACAAAAAACAAAATGAATAGAAAAATAACTACACAGTTGGTGAAAAAATACTTCGTTATACATATCGTTGTGATAAAATTTAGTTTATTTGAATGCACTGGTTGTAAGCAAAGCAATATGCACAATGTTAGTTTCATTACAGGTGCAATGGCATGTTTTTTTTTTAATATTAGAGCACACGTCACGTTGTTTTTAATAAGAAAGCGATTATTCCAGTCAAAGTGGTAGATTCTAACTTATAAATGTTGAAGGAGAGTTCTATTTGCACACTACGGTGTTCTTATTATTGCAAGTTATTTAAGGCCTAGATGATATTTGAAAGAAGAAATTGTTTACTTTTAAATAACATTTTCTAATAAGGCAGGGCGAGAGGTCACTTAAGGTCACTGACTTGGAATATTTTCAGAACGCTACAAAAATATCCAATTAGAACTCTCCTTAACCTTTTGTAGCAAAAACTCCTGTCCATGTTCTAATTGCCTGACCAAAGGAATATAATATATGCCTGTTTATTTCAAGTTTTATATTTCGAGAAGTTATTGTTTTTAAATAACTTTAAAAAAATACGTAAAGACCGACCAAAACCATGATGAAACATTATCAATATAAATATATTATACATATACTTAGTTTATAAGAAAAAATATATATATTAAACCCATGATGAATTAACAAAATTAACTTAATGCTTTGTAAAATATGACTCAAAAATAATCTAATACTTAAAATATATAAGATAAATTAATGCAGAAGTTTGAAATAAATATTTTAAATTCATAAATAACTTAACATTCGTACAGTAATTATTAGAATTTAATTTTTTAATACTATACTTAATTTTGTCAGACCACATTCAAGAACATTATATCATCTCTATAGAAAAAAAAATACTAAGAAAATGTAAGGATCTCTTTATATACAGGTGTATCCAAGATGCATCATTTAGAGATGGCGCTACAGGAGCAAAAGTTAAAAGTGTTTTTTAATCTACATCGTATTTAGGCCATAATTATATATTAATTAATATTACTTTGATACTCAGAATCACTCATTCGGTAAATGGAAAAGAGATAACTTGAAAAAAAAAACCAAAATAGTTAACTTTCTTAGTTCAATTTCAAATCTTCATTTGAGGTAATTAAGATATTTTTTTTATATTTTGGTATGGACATTATTAAAGCAAAAACCAAATAAGAATAACCGTCAAGAATTTTGTCTATGAATATAAAAGTATTATATTCATAGTCAAAATTCATGATGTATGACATTTTCCATGTAAAGAAATATTTTATTGAATTCTTTATAAATTCAATTATTAATTACTAATTAATCAATTAGCAACTCATTATTAACTGAAATATGTAAATATAAAAAATGATTTTTGTCAAAATGTTTAAGATTTTAAGTACCAACTATTTACAAAAAATGCCTTAAAATGACATATTCCATTAAACTGCAGTAAGTTTTTATTTCTTTTTTATTTAATCTAAATGGTTTGGTAGTTAATAGTTGATTAAAAGATTGATTTCTCATACTTCAAGTTAAACATGCCCATTTATATAAAAGGTTTCATAATTTTTATTCTCTTACGAAAGGGCTAGTCCAGACAGGATTTTTGGAATGAAATAATTATATCTAAAGTTTGAAAAAATATTTAGAAAATGAGGGCGGGGTAAAGTGAGAGCGAGTAAGAGAAAGAGGAGAGTAAAAGAAAGAGTAGAGTAAGAGAAAGAGTAGAGCAAGAAAAAGAGTAGAGTTAGAATGAGGAAATATTGATTTCAGAATGATTTATTATTGTTTTTATACACTAGCGCACTTGTAAAATGCCTGAACTTAATTCATTTTACCGGAAAACGTACATACGTGTATTCTGACTTCAGTATGATTTAGAAATAAATAAAAGTTGGCCAACTCAACTACTTTACAAAACCATTAACTACTAGGATTACCCGTAACTTTGCCATAAAAATCGAACCAAAAATTATAAAAATCGCTCCAACCGATTTGTAGTTCATAGAAAACATACACACACACACATTGATTTTCAGATATATATAATTAGTGCAAAACATTCAGTTATTGATACTCTCTCGAATATTTGCAAATAGAAAGTGCCATTTGTAAAAATACGAATTATATGATATGCCTGAAATTGATATAAGAAAGACATCACATATATTTTTTTTATCAAACTAAGCACTTGTCATGTATACTAATATAATAAAGAGGTAAAGTTTGTGAGTTTGTCACGTTGTAGGGGGTAATCACTGGATCTACTGAACCGATTTAGATGAAATTTGGTAAGAAGATAGTTTAAGACCCCGAGAAGGACATATTATACTTTTATCCCGGGTACCATCCTTTAAGGGAGTGAAAATGGGGATGAAAATTTGTATTAGGAAGCAACCTAGGCAAGAACCCGAGCGAAGCGAGGGTGAGTCGCTATTTATCCAATAATCCTGTCTTAACAAGTCTTATTATGTAACATGAAAATATAAATTATATAAAATATTTTCGTAATTATACATTCAATTTACCTCGGCCTTTAGTTCTGCAACTTGTTCTTGCAATTCACGGACTCGATCAGAATCGTCCATATTATTGCTTCTAAGCTCACCCTCCGTCGCCATTACTTCGTTCTGAAATTATTTGAATATCTATTATAGAAAAGAAAAGTAACTTCTTAGTTAGTTTGTGAGTTTGTGACGTTGTAGAGGGTAATCTCTGGATCTACTGAACCGATTTAGATGAAATTTGGTAAGAAGATAGTTTGAAACTCTGGGAAGGACATAGGATAAAAAATCTCGGAAATCATACGTTAAGGGGGTGAAAATAGGGATGAAAGTTTGTGTTGGGAAGCAAGCTAGGGGCGAACACGAGCGAAGCGAGGGTGAGTCGCTAATAGTGGAAAACTCGTTCAAGAGCTTTCTGCGGTGAAACTTATCACGTTGATGTTACAACCTAGACACTACACTATGTTTGGAAATACTGGGATGTAAAGTACATGTTACGCCAAATTAGAGATTTGTATAACAGGAGACTGTCTTTACACGCAAATTATAGTATAAGTTTGCGGAAATTGTTGAAAATATTAAATATAAAAAATTACTATTATAAGACCTTTTTATGTAGCTTTATTTATAAGACCAGTAGATGCCACAAGCAAAAAAGGATAATACCAACATGCCGTATACCTAACCATTTTACATGTTGACGCTGATACTTATTAAAAGTTTCTATGTATATTAATTATTGGAAGGAACAAGGAATCTTTTCTAAAAAGAAAAGCTATAAACCATCTGTTTCATGCAACAAGTCTATAGGAATACTGGCATCGGCGGATATAGTAAGAGATCAAAAAGATTCAGATCCCGATAGAAAGCTCTAAAGGCTCTTGCCAATTCTAATGACATGTACTGATCCTGATAAATACGATTACAGTAACTTGTGTGCATTGGATGATCCAAAAATCTATGGAGAAATTACATACCTTGGTGAAGCTGTAAATGTACCAGAAAAAGAAAAGTGGAAGGAAGCAATGGATGAAGAATTAAATGCTTTCGATGAAAATAAAGAATGGGCATTTGTGGACGATAAAAACAAAAGACACCTTACTCTGGTCCTCTATACATATAATAAAATTGTAACTAAGCCAAATTTGTACATTAAATATTTTTTGGAAAGTCTTATTGAAATAGACATTATTATTGATACAGAGGCCGAATTTATAGTTTTTAGAATTTTTGTCTGTCTGTCTGTTACCGCATCACAGAAAAACCACAGGAGTGATTTAGATGAAATTTGGTATGGCGATAGATAGTTATCTGGATCAACATATAGGATACTTTTTATCGTGGGAAAATGTCTCATTTCTGAGAAAAAATATAAAAACTGCAATGTATGATAATGCTAGTAAAGAAAATAAATTCCGAATCTTAAGTCACTTAATCATATCTAGAAATATATATAAGGTCATTTTTCTACGCTGCATGATTATTAAAACTAACTAGATTCCTGTTTCATGCTATATATTCTAACCTAGGAAGAATCATACCAGATTTTTGATAAATCACCAATATAGTTGAACTCAAACAGAAAGGAAATCTCAATCAACATCCAGTATAGAGAATGTATGATACCTAAATTCCCGCGTGTGAAAAAGTATATAGAAAACATACGTCGAGGACAAAATTATATAGATTTCTCCTGGGATTGTAATCTTCGGATCGTGATCTTAAGACACCAATGTGGCGAGCATTGAAATTTACGAAAGTAACTACCTCTGCACAAGGAACATTCCATTTAAAAGTATTTCCGTTAAAATCAATGTGCTACCGCCTTCTGTATGAATTTTTATATAATGGTATCTATGTGGAGTTTAGTGAAGAGAAGTTTTACAGTAAGTAGCCTGCCCTGTCCATATGACGGCTGGCAGTTAAATCTACATTGAATTATAAATCTGTAAACAAATACATTTAAAATTTTAAAAATATAAGATATTTCTTACTTTTAATTTATATTCTGACACTTCTGTTTCTAATTCAGCTATCCTCTGGGCTACTTCCATGTTCTTAATGTTTGCCTGCATTGATTCGTATTTGGCCTGCAAAGACAAAAATCCGGAATGAATTAGGTAGTACAGGCTTTTACAGCCAGTGAATCTCAAATAACCACCTGTACATATATATAGGTGATATGCGTAAACACCTCCGAACACAAAAATAAGGGAACACAGTATTATGCAGTCGGAGCCATACATGTTTTATACTAGCTGCGAATGTTGCCTTTGACGAAGTCGGGTAAAAGGGTCCCATCTTATTTCCATTAAAAAAAGACGTTACCTTGCTTTCCAAGTCAGCGTATTTGTGTTGAAATTCACGCTGGCGTGTTTGCAGGGCTCGTTCACGCTGTAGTGCGGCATCTAACGACTCTCTTAATTCACGTAGTTCCTCATCCTGACGTCGTAGTTGATTAGTCGACACTTGCACTTGCGTGCGTAGCTCCATTTCCTGTTAAGCACGTCATATTGTCATTAGTACTGAATAATAATAAAAATCCCCAGACCGATTTTGGCCGAGGCGGCAAATCTCATTGAGACTAGCCAGATATGTATTCGGCCCTTTTTAATGTCCCACTGCTGGGCAGGGCCTCTTTCAATGCGATCAGGCCATATTACACCACGCTGGCCAATTGCGGGCGGACTTCACATGTCTTTAGAAAACTTGCTTGGTTCTCTGAGACATGCAGGTTTCCTCAAGATGTTTTCCTTCACCATATGGCAAGTGGTATTCATGTTAGAAATGATTCGCACATGAAAATATCAGAGATGCGAGACCTGGGATTTGAACCAGCTTCACTTGGTGTCCCAAGGGAGCGCGTTATAACTGGGTTACCACTGCACTAGTCAACTGCGCAGGAGATATTATAGTGCACAAGTGCACTCTCTATTCCTGTAAATACTTGGAAGATAAATAGTGAAGCGAAAATGTTCAAAGTTACCTTGTAATTGCATTTTATTTATATTTTAAATAAAACTATCTGTTCGGATTATTTATTTAAAATGTTAAATATTCGCGTAAATCTAAGAAGGCATTATTTATTTATACTCTTCAAATATATATAATTCGTTGGCTTACTATTACAAGGTTCTATGTTAATTTTAATGAAGTTAAGTAATTTTTACATAGAACTTCGCTATTTTGTTATTGTAAAAAAAAACAACATAGAACTATGTAAAATTGAATATTTTGTAGTTATAGTGCCGCTATCTAGTGGTTTGTTTTTGCAAAACTGTAGCTAATAACACATAGAACCTTGTAGCATTAATAACTAAATAAGTACTAAAATTGTAACATAGAACTTCGTAATAGTGAGCCAACGATATGTCAGTTTAGTTTTTATTGCAGCGTTTCAACAGCGAATCCACGTTGCCTAATTTATACCTATTTCTTTAAAAAAAACCAGTTACAGTTACCTTAAGCCTAAGCTCCTTCAACTCAGTGGCCGCTTCGGCCTCCTTAATTCTGATGGTCATGAGTTCTTCCTCCAACTTCTGCATATCTGTCGACCTTCCTTCCCACGCGCGGAGTAACTTCTTAGGCGTCGCCATTATATCTGAAACTACGTTGGACTGCGCTGGTGGCGGTGGCGTTTCTTGTCTGTGTTCCTATCGAAAATAAATTATCTATATTAATATTATAAACACACAACGATATATAAAAAAAACTTGCATAACTACAAAAAAAAACAAACCTTTCTATCCGACCGGGATTCGAACCCGGACACTTATTCAATATTGCGCCTTGGTCGCTTGACCATGATGCTTATATTCGAGCGTGCGAAATATCGAACATAATATTTTGCGTGGAATAATATAAAAGAAAACTGCATGAAAATTCGAAAACACGCGTTTTCCCAAACATAAGACTAATCTAGATCGATTTATCACCCCCAAAACCCCATGTATCCTAAATTTCATGAAAATCGTTGGAGCCGTTTCCGAGATTCAGATTATATATATATATATATATATATATATATATATATATATATATATATATATATATATATATATATATATATATATATACAAGAATTGCTCGTTTAAATATATTAGATAATATATAGATTTACCTGCAGATGTTTTTGCCACGCTTCTGATAGTTCAGTGACACGTTGTCTGAGATCCTTTAAGGAAAGATTTGCTTCTGCTTCGCGCAATTTAACTGCTATCAACTCGTCCTGTTATTAAACATTTTATATAGCTAATTAGTTAATATTAAACCACTTCACATATCTTTATGATATAGGCCGAATGGAAATGGTAGTTTTGCACAATTTTAGAGTAATTAAAAAAATGATATAAATATTTTAATGATAAAAAGTTCATGAATGTGTACCATATTACTAATTAAAAGGTCTTTAATATATTATTTAGATATAGACTGTTAGCTTGTTATTAAAACACAAAGCTCTTTTTGTTTTATTGCTCGCGTTAAAACTACAAAAAAAATGGCTTAATATTATTTATTGAATCGTAACTTTGCACTCTAGTAGTTAATAAAAGGTTGCACAGAAAATTCAACCCCCATTTCACTCTCTTAGAGGTGGGCCCATTTCAAAAAACCCTTTTTAGTGGATACCTACATACATTTCACAAAGAACACACCATCCATATTTCACGTCTCTAGGACCAGCGGTTCAGGCTGTGTGTTGATATATCAGTCACGCAGGACATTATATTATATATACATATTAAATAACTAAAGTCTTACAAACTAGAAAAGCCTCCTAAAAACGTATTTAATATTAAAATATATACATATATGTATATAATTATATATCTAAGGGGGTATATAAACCCCTACAAACAACTAAGATATATTATTAGCTTTTCTCACCTGCAAGTGAGCTACATTATTATCAACGCGTTGCTTCCTCAATATTTTATTTTCATTTTCCAATTCAGCAATTCTTGCATTCAATTCTCTTTCAGTTGCCTGTCTTTCGGCAGCGTCTAGTCTTGCCCTTACTAATTCTCTTTGAAGGCATCGGGCAAGTTCTTCGCCTTTTGCGTTATTACTTTCTATACCCTCTAGTGACGACTGTCGGGAGTTGTTCTGAAAATATTTGAGAAGAAATATAATTTGAGTATGAGTAAAAGTTTAAGTAACCTTCTTAATATATATAATAGTTCTGTACGTGTGTTAGTCACCGAACTTTTAAACGGCTGGACCGATTTAGATGAAATTTCGTGTGTATATTTCAATAGGTTTCTGGATGGTTTGAAAATACAAATGGACCCAGTAGGTGGCGCTGCTGTCGTTATGTCACTGATCTTCTCCTAAACGGCAGAGACGATTTTAATATTATTTTTAATGTATGTTCGAGCGGGTCCCTGCAGGGTCCCCCCCAACGTGCGTTCACCTTGTCGTGGTGGGGGGGCTCAGTAGTGCCCGGCAATTCAACCGGGCGCGAAGCTAAGAAACGCACAGGGAGGTTGCCCACTTCGGTGGGCGGTGGGAGGTGGCCCTCTTCGGAGGGCGGTGTACCTTGCGGGTTGCTCCTGGTACTTCTCTGATAGCAGAGTGGACCTTGGGGCAACCCCATGGTTGTGGTGGTCTGCTTCGGCAGACCTGCCGTCGGGGCGTCGTAGTTGAATGCGTAAGCGATCCTGCGACGCCCCATTAAGACGGGGGAAGGTTTTGTTGGGTTTTAGTGGGTAGTACTGCCTGTATTACACCGGTGAGTCCCACACGTCGTGCGTAAATGCATTTCCCAACGTTAAAAAAAAAAAAAAGGGTCCCTGCAGGGTTTGAAAACATAAATAGATCCGGTGGTTGGCGCTGCAGTCTGTGTGTCACTAAATGTTCATGAAAGCCTCCATTTTTCGTGCAATAAATACATTTTGTTGATTAAATAAATAAAAAATCGATGTGTGTGACCTATGGACTCCAAAACAGCAGGAGCGATTTTGATGAAATTTACAGACAATCTTCAAATTAATAGTCTAATTATTATATTTAAGTGATACATGTTGTGTTTGCCTGTAAGTGTCTTTATATTTTAGATTTGTAATTATATGTAAAGTTGTTGGTGAACCAAATAAAGAGAAAAAAAATACCTCAGCTATGGTCATTTCTAAGCTTCTAATTTCATCTTGAGCTACTGCTAATCGTTGCTGGGCGTCCATATTGGCTCGTCTGAGGGCTTGGACCTCCCTTGCAAGGGCGAAGGTTTCCTCCTCACCCTCTGCCCTGTCTACTTGACCCTTGACCAGACGTTCTGCTAACGCTGAACTTTCCTTTTCTAGCAGTTCCACTCTTTGCTTGAGAAGACGGTTCTCTTGACGAAGGCACTAGAAATATATTGTAGGATTAATATATATATTATTTATTTGAGGTTGTATCAAAAGTTTTATAATCCATGCTAATATTATAAATGCAAAAGTAACTCTGTCTGTCTGTTACCTTCTCCCGCTTAATCCGCTGAACCGATTTAGATAAAATTTGGTATGAAAATATCTCACTCTCTTTTTGTTATACATTTTATTGAAAACCCTTTCAAACCCTTTAGGCAGCGCATGTCGAAAAGAAATGGTCGTTGAGGCCATTTTTTGACTTCAATGAATGTTATAAATATGTAAAAAATATGTTGAGACATCAACACACAGCACCATTTAGTTTCATGGTAAGCTACGAGCTGATACACTACCCATATATAACTTTAAAAACATACATATATATTATAAATATAAACACCCATAACTGGAGTGCAAACATTCGTGCTCATCGCACAAATTAATGCCCCCCAGCGGGACTCGAACCCGCGACCATTGGCACAGCAAGTATTGTCACTACAAACTGAGCCAAACGTGTCGTCAATATGTTACTAAGATTTCTGACAGTTAACACATTTTTTTAGGGATAAAAAACAGAATATACACAAGTACTATATTCTATTTTTTACTTTACTTTAGTAACTATACTAACGGTAATGTAGCTTCCTATCAGTGAAAGAATTTTTAGAATTGGATCATTTGTTCCAGACATTAACTCCTACAAACCTCCTCATAATATTAGTACATGCGGCAATTTTTATTTCATATAACAAAAACATCAACAATGAAATTGATTCTGCTAAAAATAGTCATTATTTAATTACACAATATGGCGGTAAGATAACATTTTATCTTAGCTAATCTTAAGATAAACATTTTAACTGACTGCGTATAAAAATTGCGCTTTGCAAGTTTCGGTGTACAACTAAACCAACGTTATTATTAATTATTGTTCGTAAGTTTGAATATTGCAGTTTTATTAATAATGTCTTGCAAAGTGAAGTGTAATGTTTTTTTTGTGTTTAACAAAAAAAAAAGCATTTTGACCATATATAAAAATATTAAAGTTTATGCAGTATTCATGAACGAATTAGAGACTGGACCTGACATAAAATACAAATGTATGAAAACTAGTTCAACCAAGTGACGCATAACGCACACAAAGATTTTATTACATTATTATAAACACTGATACACAATACAATATTTCTAGTGCTTGAACGTAATCGATAAAATACATATATCGATGAACCAATGAATGACATTTTAGACATTGGTTAGCATAGTCATCATATTTTACATCTTTTAATTTTAATAATTTAAAATAAATGAATTAAAGAGGCAATAATAATGTGTCAAATAATAATTATTTTTTAATTTGATTTAGAAAATATTTTTATAAATTTATTGTCATCAGATTGTAGGATACTGTGGTAAAAGTATTTTATGTTATTGTAATGTACAAATAACACAATTCGTTTAGTAATTTCGTCAAATATCGATATATTATTCGACATTGTCAAGCACTAGTCGATGTCAAATGGACTCACTCGACAGTTTAGTCATTTGTTCTGAATGGTATAATCCAGGGATTTTATGATGGTTGTCAGATGTCAACAATACATAGAAATATCGACTATATTTAACATAGTTGGATAATATGACATTTTATTTTACATTTAATTAAATTGTGTGATAAATAACAATAAATGTAATAAAATAATGTATTTACAAGTGAAAAGAAATACTGCTGCTTCCGCCGTTATAGTTTTTACATCATTTAACAGAACATTTAGTCATTTTTGGGAGATGTTTTGTTGACAAATAAGTGCTTGAGACTGACGCAAAAAACAAACGACCAAGCCTAAAATCTCCTGGTTACTGAGAAGACCGATAAAGGTACGTCCGCTAATATGTCTAGTCCAGTGGTTAATTCGTTCATGGCAGTATTATACGAATATATAATCAGCTGTTACTAAACAGGAGTCTATACTTCACAGAATAATTATTAATACATAAAAAAACGTGTGTGTGTACTTATGTATGCTCGTAAGATATTATACTTCTTTGGCGTAACAGAACAAAAATAGCTAAAGATTTCATCCCGTATGTCACAGCTCTCTCTTTGTAAAGGGAATGCAGCTAACTTCATCATGTCGTTTTTCGGCTGTCGGTGTGCGCGCGCATCGTAAAAACATAACTCTTATAATTTTTACCAAACCAAAAGAAGTATAACTTCAAAAATATCAATTCAAGAGTTCTACTCGAATAATTACATAACAAATAAAAAACCCAGATAAACACCAAAAGCTTATCATATAACAAAAAAACATACATATTTAAAATATAAATTATAAAAAAGAACTCACTCTAAGAACGGCGATATCTCCTTGCTCTTTAGTTTTAATAACTGTATATTCCTTTTCTAGTTTCTTCATTTTCTTTGGATTCACTTTTATTGTGTAAGCAAGATTCATAAACGCGTCTTGATCTGCTTCAGCCTTCGCGGGCAACTCCTTCTGAATGTACTGTTATCATATAATTGTAGATAAATTGATAATATTCAACGTGATTCACACAAACATTGATAATGATATATAATTATTGTTTAAAAAATGATTAAATTCATAATTTAATCTGTGATTATTATGTACAGGGCTGCCAGATCGTATAATTGAATATGAAAATTGTAAAATATGGTTATTTTATGTATATTCATTTTAAGTTATTACGTATTTTTATAGAATTTTTTATTCATCACAGACTATTTCTCAACAGTTTGGTTAATTTGTATAATAAAATTTGTTATATATATGTTATTATAAAATAAGTTTGCTCTACTGGCAGCCCTGATTATGTATAGCATTATCGTTGCATATAAGTGTCAATGTATCCTTGTTTTGGGTGACTATGGTTATTTATACATGCAAATATAGTTATTTTTATAAATAATTTTGTTTAAATAAATTAATAATATGCTAAGTTTTCAATTTATTGATAGCGCCCAACGTAACGACTTTGTATTTGACTGACTTGAAATAGAGATATTTGAGAATTTTAAGAGATTTTTTATGCTAGCTATATTTTCGCAACTTGTCAATCGATATTAATAATTGTTTCATAACTAATTAAACCTTAAGAGTAAATAAAAAAAAGTAATTTTGTAGTCATTGTACCATTGTAAAAAAGTGCACAGCAGTTTTCATTAAAATTATGGTAAATCACTACAATCATCACACAACAATCAAAATCAATACAATATTCGCAAAGCCAGCAACAGCAGATAATTGCTTAGCCTAATACATTTTTAATAAATTATCAGAGGAAATAAACTGTTTATTTGACAATAATACGTAATATTGTATATAATATGACTAGCTCTAGAAAAACAAAAACAAATCTATCTCACGGGAACCGAACATTTTTCCGAGATAAAAAATAGACTATGTGCTATTCCAGAATATAATCTATATCTGTGCCAAATTTCATCCAGATCCGTTCAACCTTTAGACACGTACTATTACTATATAAAATAAATATTATGTTCACAGATATTATGTAATCGGGGTTCCAAATGCACTGTATAATATATTAAGTTATATGTAAGCTATACCAATATGTATGACTCTTACAAATAATGAAGGAGTAAGGAGCATTGCTGAGCGTGACAAATGAGCAAGAAAGGGTTATAAAAATATGACATTCGCATTTATTTCGGATAAAAAATCTCATTATTTTTAATTTATTAACATTTTTGATTACTTTATAGTGCGATAAAGAAAAATTTTGCGTAATTTAATGATTGGACGTATTTACTTTAGAAAACATCGCATTTGGCGAATAACAAGTCAAATTATTACAACCAATAATAAACATGGAATATTACCTTTAAAATGCTTTCCATATCGAGTGATAAAAGGTCGTTTTTGCCTAAAGTCAGTAGAGCTAGAGCAACTTTAAACACAATCTCGATCCCCTCCGATAGAAATACATCCATGATACGACATGCAAGTGGCAGCGAGAGTGTGGTCGTGAAGAGTGTAAGAAACCAACTGCTGGCGTATATCGATGTGCTGAAACTCTGAAGATAGTAAAAAAAATAAAGAGTGCGAGTATGAATGTGTACACGCGCAAGAAGTAAAACTTCTGTAGGTACTTTATGAAATTCAATTTATGTTTTAAAAAATTAGGATAGGTGAGATAGTAAAAAGAAAAAATGATGTTCTCCTAGCCGAATCCGGCCACGGCGCCCAATCTCAATGAGATTAGCCAACTACGCAGGAGATATTATAGTGCTCAAGTGTACGCGCAGGCACAAGTGCACTCTCTATTCCTATCACTCTCATACTCCGGTGGGACGACCACTCGACACGACCGGTGAGAGTTAAGGCGCAGGACCGACGGCTTTACGTGCTCTCCGAGGCACGGGGGTGAAACACCGCCAACTTCCCAACTCCGGGCTGTTACTGAGACTTACTATACAGGAAGACTCAATAACTAAACTTGGCCCGACCCGGGACTCGAACCCAGGACCTCCGAGTGTGCAGCCGTACATGCTAGCCACTACACCACCGAGGTAGTGAAAAAGAAAAAATATTAGGTATATTACAATGATACACACACACATATATATATATATATATATATATATATATATATATATATATATATATATATGTGTGTGTGTATCTATAATATATATATTTATAGAATATCATTTAAGGAAAGAATATAATATTATTTATATTTGTCAGACAATAACAACGGTTGCCATGGCAACAAACGTACATACATTTTTTCTTAACGCATTCACAGCTTACCCCCCAGAAGTAAAGAAGTTTTACCTCAAAAATATATTAATTGTATATTACGATACGCGTGACTTAAGTAGTCTATTATTGTACGGAATGTATTAGTTTATAGGGTAGGTAGTGGTAGCGCAGTGACAAGACGCTCGCTTGGAAAACCGAGTGATGCGGGTTCAAATCCCGGATCTCGTACCTCTGATATTTTCATGTGCGAATCATTTCCAACATGATTACCACTTGCCTTACGGTGAAGAAGCTAGCAACTTTTCGAAAGATATATGAATGTACTTCGGGACGCACCCGACCGAAACGAGGATAAGCTGCTTGTATCGAAATGAAACAGGCTTTTTTATATCTCTGTACCTACCCCGCAAGCGTACACACAGACAAAAACTAGATATATCCAACAATACTAGCGATATTTAAATTGACCTAACTTGTATATTTACGAATAAAATAAAATACTAAAGTTAAATGAAGCTTACCCACAATACATTAGTGAAAACCTCACCCAAATCGGTTAAGCCGTTTCTGAAATTAACGCGCACAAACAGACAAAAATTCTAAAAATTGGGTTCTATTGCGTTTATAAAGACTCCCAATAAAAGTTTTTCTCAAATATCTTCGATGTACAGACAGCGTTCAGTTACACTTTTATTATATGCATAGATAAAAGAAATTTTACCTGTGATTGAAAATGTACATGTAAATCCGGTAATAGCTCCTGTACGAGATTTTCTAATTGGAACATACACAGTCCCAACTCCGCCATACTAGGTTTGAACATGTCCCGCATGCGGTGGTGCTGCATTATCTTTAACAAAACTGCGAATGCTTCTTCCTCTGGCATCTGTTCGAATGTTAAAGAATATATTAAATATACTAGCAAAACCCGCGGCTTCGCTCGCGCTAAAACTACAAATAGAACTAAAAGGATAGGTTTCATACAAACTTTCATCCCCTATTTTACCCCCTTGTGGGATGAATTACGAAAAAATATGTTAAAACACATATATTTAATTGTATTGAAGAGCATTAATAGCAAGTTTCAAGTAATTCTTATCATAATTTTATTTTGGGTTGTATTATAACTTGTTTTCCCGTGGGAATTATATAATCTACCGCGTTAAAAAGTACCCTATGTTACTCTCCAGCCCTCCAACTAACGCCACACAAAAAATCACGGCAATCTGTCACTCCGTTTCGACGTGCAAGAAGGACAAACAAAAAATAAAGAAACAAACAAACACACTTTCACATTTATAATAAAAGTATGGAAGTATGGATTATTAAGTTTTATATATTATAGTGAGATTTTCTTTAAAAAATTTTACACTGATCTTTATATATATACCTTCGTTCAGATTATTACTTTAAAAAAACAATATACATATGAAACATGTTCAGTCTAGCAATTAATTTATCACATATAAATTCTCACCTGCATCAATAGCAAGCCGACAATAAACCCAGAGCCTTGACAATAGCCAACTTCCCTATCGTGGAGAGAATACGCCTTCATCACGTTGAATAGTGACTCCTGTCCTAGACCATCTTTCTCTTTGAAGAAATCATGTTCCGGGTACGTTCGAGCGATGTCACGTCGTATTACTTTTTCGCATGCAGATTTGGCCTATAAGATGGAGATTAAATAACACAGTGAAAATTGTATAAAAGACAGAGTTTTATAGTAGATTTTGAATATATGTATGTAGAGTCTACAGATATGGAAGATATTATTAAGGAATATATAATTATAGTATACTAGCGAGTGGCGACTCACCTTCGCTTCGCTCGGGTTCGTTACTAGGTGCTTCTTTAAATTAACATAACTTGTTTATTTATGAGCTAATTAAAATAAAACAAACACTAAAATGTAAAGTGATGCTTACCAAAACACATTAGTGAAAAAAAAGACTCTTTAATAGTTTTTCTCAAATATCTTCCATGTACAGAGAAATTTCAGTAAATACAAGCGATCAGTTACAATTTTATTATTTGTATAGATTAGGTAAATATTTCAGATTACTGTAACGTGGACATACAGGCGAATGTAAAGAAAATTATCTTTATTCGATTGGTCTTTTACGAGCATTTTTGAATCGACAGTTTAATTTTAAGAAAGTACTTAATTTTAGTCGGCTCGTTAGGAAGTTCATACTAATACTTACATATAAGACTAATATAAACGACATTTTGAGCAGGATTTGAACCTGAACTCTTAGTCATATAAACATAATTTGACGGGTTAAAAATTTGTATTGTGCAATCAAAAGTCTAGACTCTATATCTATTGCATGCATTTTTACAACTTACAATCGAATTTCTCACTAATTTTATCATAAAATGTAATATTAATAAAGGTGTGTATTATCTGATTGAGATTAGATCTTTCAATAACGATATACGATTAAAGGAAAAATACATAACACTTAACATTTCCGCAGTCCTAACACAGAGTTAGGACTCTATGACAGTAGTCTATCATATGACGACTATCAAACTACTACATATTTGTTTGATAGCGGTATCGCTCCAATCACGTATGTAAAGAAGCTGCTGCACACTGCAGTGTATTTATTTGATAATATAATTTATTCGGGTTCGTAATCAGTATAAATATGTATTCAAGTGCGAACATACAATACTTGATCTACATCTTAAAATTTATTATGAACTAAACTATTAATCGTTTAAAAGTCTATAGTGTGCAGCGGCCCTTACGATTTTTCCCGCACACATTTCATTTGATTGAGAAATATCTGTAAAATAACTTATTTCGATAATGCATTTCAACTTACCTTAATATATGATGCGTATAGTTTTTTATCAGGCGAAGCGTCAACACCCGCGAGTAGTTGCCACACTATGCCCCTAAAGTGATGGGGCACACCTTGTCTAACTAAATCTCGTACAAATTGATTGCGTCTACGCCATTCTGTTTCCCAGTTGCTGACTAGCCTGCCCCAAAGACTCCATAAGTCTTCTTCACCGTTACTCCCAACCCTTGCTTCGTCATGGCTCGAGCTGGTGGCTAAATGAAATAACGTTAAATGTTAATATATGTGGAGTGCGTATGATAATTGAGTATATTATAACATTTTTTTGTTTTATTAATATGTTGGTAAGCATATCATTTTGTAAGCTGGTTCCTGATACTATTATTATCCTATAGCCTCGAGTGCATTTAAAAATATTTAATTATTTTCAAGCACATGGGTAATTTAAACCTCCAAGTTTGCCTTAGTATGCCGTAACTATGCTTAGTGGAGCTTAAAATATTAAATAATTTTTTTACACAATTTCTAAAGTTACACATTACGTAAAATAGTAATATCGCTAAAAAATATGTTAAGTACAAAATGTTCACTTGCTGTAAAACATTCGCTGGCCTTATATAAATGTTGAAAACTCGCAATCGCTAGCTTTATACAATCTATTGTTTATAGTGACGGTAAATTATATGTTATAGTACTTATAACTATCAATAGATTTTACTGAATTTAAATAAAATGAATGAAATTAATGTTAATAATACGATTCAAAGTAATTTTAATGTTATGATTTCTAAACACACATTTTCATACATTTGAATTCAAAAAATAATGAGATCAGTAGTTTTAGAGGTTAACTCAAGCAAATAAATCATCTAAGTATATATGATCAAGCTACGGCCAAAAAGGCAAAAATCGTATTGAAAGCAACATGAGCGACTTGACTATTTATGGCAATAATATTTGTAACACGATCGTGCTCAGAAATAAATACACAGATAAAGTTATCATAGGAATTACGGTAACAAAACGATACAAAAACACATCTGTCTAACCTCGTATTGTTATGAATGCCTTTCGCATGTTGCTGCGCTCACGTGAATCTCTAATACTGATGTACAGAAGTAAGTGAACCGATTTTAACGGAACCTCTCACACGTACTTAATGGTCTTAAGCTATTATACATTCTGAAACCTATATAAATAGATAGCATAGCTATATAAGTAACTTGCGTAGAAAATAAAGTTTTAACATAACATAAATGAACAGGTTTTTATAATTAATTAATTAATTAATTTTACAATTATAGTTTTTGTTGAAATAACAATATATTTATAAAATGACTAGCACTATTTAGTAATTAAAAATGGTATTTATAGATAACGTATTTATTTAGTTATTAGTAGGAATATAATCTGTAAATCACTGCTATTAAATGTAATTTATTCGTATAGTTAATGACAACCTCGTTTTAAAAACAGATATTGGATATAGAAATTTAATTACCGAGTGTGGTTGTACTTGTTAAATTACACTTTGTTATTACTTTGATAAAAATACAATGTAATGTGATTGCGTTTAATAATTTTAAATAGAATTACAGTATATTTTCAACGGTAATCATAATACAAAAAAATATTTAGGGTTGCGAAAATTATTAATTTAGGACGCTGTTTGAACTATATCTTCATTATCAGCACTGTCATACTAAGAAAAAGATAATAACTGATAAGACTTTCGACAAAACCGAAGCAAGACTTTACTGGTGCCTACATACGAGTACATACATAATTTTTGTTTCCTAAATACAAGTGTGTTTATTTACATAAATTAAATAATTTGTGTGTTTCTTATAAATATACTAGCGCATTACCCACGCTTCGCTCGGGTACGTCTCTAGGTACCTACGTTTTAAATAGATATAAACAGTTACTAGTCAGCGTTAGCCATGTAAATTTTTATTTGTGATTTTTCCGTTATTTAAATATATAGTTCTTCTGTTATTCGAGGCGGAGACAAATCCAACAAATCAAAGATCATAAAAATCGGTTCAGCCGTTCTTGAGTTATAAATGGTGTAACATTGTTTTATATTATAGATAGTTAATTTAAAAATAACGTTTTTTATGTATGCAGATGGATTAAAAAATCAGCTCAGTTATTTAAGCAAAAGAAAAAAAAATGCTTTGTTGATCACTAGACTCAGTTTAACATGACGATTAAATTCGAGTGTCGCAAACAATGAAACTAAAATTGCGCATAAAGTAAATGTAAGGCGTTAAGTAAATCAACGCAACGCGGTATGCACATGTGACGCAAGATTTACACCAAAATAATACAAGAGCATAACCAACTTATATATTTTCTGCTTTAGTTTATATAAATAATATATTATATTAATAAATAAATCTATTCCACGGGAACCGTACATTTTTCCGAGATAAAAAGTAGCCGTGCTATTCTAGACTATAATCTATGTATGTATCTCTGTGCCAAATTTTATCCAGATCCGTTTAGTCGTTCTGGCGTGATGGGAGTAACAAACATCCATCTAAACTTTCACATGTATAATATTAGTAAGATAATAAGATTGACCTTCAATAATTATAATTAATCAAACTCTTCAATTTACCCATATCTACACATATTCTATATATTGCAGGAAGATAAGCCCACACTTAAGTGTATATTATGAATAAGGCGTAAAAGTTTGTGTAAAAGTTAGTAATTACTACATGAATCAAGTTAAAATTGGTGTACATTATAGTCAGTCATTCTATATATCATCTATATATAAAATCTATATAAACTAATGCAACCAGAGATTGTGCATGTTAGATGACAGTTTGCTTTTTTTAACAGACAACAATGAGAGAAACATTAGAATAATGAAAAATGGTAGAAGAAAATTTGAAAATTAAATTCGCGAATGGCACAGGAGCTTTAGGACAATAGATTTTGCGTAAATTTTAACTAAATTCCAAATATCACATCACATACATTCAAATATAAAGTCGTGTGCAAAGTTGAGTAAATTATTTTTAAAATAAAAAAAAATACTTTACCTGAAGCCAACGAAATCTGTGAGGTGTCGGAGTTCTTTCGACTGTGCACAGTGGTTAACGAGGGGCACTTTGCGTCCGCCTCGATTCTTCTGTTCTCTTCCTCCAGTTTGGCGAGCAATGCCCGCTCGGGCGTCGGGATCGAATCTGAGGTGGTTACACCGCAATCTGTCGACGATATACATAATAACTACTTTCCACTCTACATGTCTCTATTGTTATTAGTATTTTGTCCTACATATATTCTTTGGCTTATTAGGTATTTTATACATAAATATATATACCAAATACATTGTCATATAGATTGAATCTATATCCAATATTACATTCGACATCGTTCGGTTTACATTGTTAGTCAATTTCATAATTATCTACTATAGGTAAATTGTTATTTTAAATAAAACTATAATTTCTTTTTTAAAATAAATTTTTTTAAAATAAAATAAAACTATAATTTTGATTTTTGGTTCCCGACGTTTCGGATGCGTTATAGCAATCATGGTCACGGGTCAATAATATGGTCACGGTTATGTTATTAATTAATAAAGTCCTTTAAAAAAATTGTAATATTTATAATAATTATAGCTAAAATGAAATAAATAATATTACTTTATTTAATTATAATACTTATTAAAAATATATGTTTAGAATTAAAATTAACAAATATTGTAAGGAACTCTGGTGCCATTTTTGAAATGATTTTTTGTAAAATTGTGGGTAGGCACTGTCTTTAACAAGTATATAACGCCATTGAGATGTCTAAAACCTTGACCATGGTTGCTGTAAAGCATTTGAAACGTCGGGAACCGAAAATCAAAATAAATCCGCGAAATAATCCGAAAAGATAGTTTTATTTAAAATGTCAAATATTAAACTGTTATTATTTTAATTAATGCATAATGAATTAAGTTCATTGACCTAATATTTATATATTAATAGTTCCTACTAATTAATTATATATGTTTCGAAATATTGGATTAATAGGCATTATAGAGATTTTCTTACATGTAAAAAGTTTTACTTTTAATTTAATAATAAAAAAAATACTTATTTTATAAATAACATATCGACCGTTGATTTTAAGATAAGCAAATTAGTCTACTTTAATAAAAGTATTTAATATGTAAGGATATATATTAGAAGCGTTAGTAAATACACTAGTTATGGCATTCCCCCACCGAAGTTAGGTGATCAAGTGCGTATAAGTCCAAAGACGCTGTGTTATTATTTTTAAATGTAGTTAGCAAGTGCGAGTTTAAAGCTGTGTTTTGTAAGATAAATAGTGCAATGTAGGCGTATATACAGTGCAGTCTTGAATTATGAGAATTTCTGTCTGCTGCCTTATTCATGTATTGGTATAAAAATAGGAAAAGTTCTGACCCTAAATCGAAATGCAACTAATATATGAATCGCGTGTAAAGCTGTTATCAATTTTCTATAAAACGGCATAAAACATGATTATTACTAACACTACAAAAATATTTCATTCAAATTTAACCTTATAACCTTTATTTATAAGAGCTTACCAGACTCGATATCCCACGTGTATATCCTTCGTTACGTTAATAGATGTCTAAAGCAGGAGTTCTTTAATGTCCCAATCTGACAGACCGAAATCCTCACGCATATTAGTGTATTAATAAGCCAACAAACCGTCAAGGAATGAGACAGGCGACTCTGTATTACTAGGAATCGGAGTAGCACTGCAGGCGGCGGCTTCCCTGGCATCCACGTCCACCTTCATGTTGAGCCCTCTGCCATATAACGGGCACGGGAGCACCTCTCTGCACCACAACTTCACGTCAAATCCTTGGCTCTACTAATATCTATACGATTTCCCTTATGTATTACTTTATCATTCAGTTTATTTCCCAATTGAAAAAGTTGTGGAACACTCTACGACGCAGTTGTTTTACTTCGGTTTAAAAAAAAAAATTTTTCATTTGCCTAAATTACACGTGAATCATCGAGCGATGATATACAAGCTTTGTGAATGTTCAGATTATGGATCAAGGTGCTATATTTTAATGAGCTCTTAATAACAAATATTTATTCGGTTTACATTTTACATAACAGTTCATTTATGACCAAATACCGAAATGATCTAGGCAGTGCATACATGCATATTATGGATCATATGACAAAGTTTATGATTAGAACCCAGGGATACTTCCACCGTGGATAGCAATTTTTTAACATGCCAAAAGGACACGTACATTAAATTCTACTTTGTACTCGCACTAACAAAAGTATGAATAATAACATATCACGGTAGTTGGGCACTATTCGTCATGGGAAAATAGTTTCATTACTATATACCTATATAAAAATAAAAATAGAACTGAAGATACATTATTGCGTTTAAAATTTTAGATACTCACAGCCCTACGTAAGCACTAATTAAGCCGTTGTCTGAATCTTCAGGGAAATTAAACAATTTTAAACCGCAAAGATCTGAATAATGCCTACCGATGTAGCTCTAATATGCCATTTCACAACAACACAAGTCTAGCATAATGTAAGAAAATCTTCATTTAAACACAATTATTTTCACGACAGTACATATGATGAAGCTGAAGATCGCATGAGTTTTGATGAAGTCGCGTAGGTGAAAGTTGGTGATACGCGCGGCAGTCGGCCGACCACTAAGCATGAAGGCCGCTCGTCCGTCGCTAGTAGGGTAACAACGATGTTGTTTAGGAATTGAATGTGTATGTATGGTATATTTAACAATCATTAACATTGGTACTCCCTTTGGTTAATTAAATGTTGTTTTTTTGTCTATAGAAATAAGGAAACATTTTATATTTTATAAGATATTCATATCCAAAAGTGCTGAAATCTGTCTAATATTTAGGTATTTGTCTAATTGATCACAATACGGTAAAATAAATCACTATGAGCGTCTCCGCTCTGCACCACGTTACCGACCTCTAATGCCTTTGTAAGACGATTTAAAGCTATAGTACGTTTTCTACGCAAAGACGACAAATCAATAATAGTATAATTCTCTGTTTCTAAATGTTTCGATTTAGATCTACTCGTAGAACTAAGTTTACGAATAGCCTGTTTTGTATTAAACGACATGATGCTATTATAAATAAAACAGGGTTCGAAACGATAATTATCATTGATAATTATCTTTGATAATTATCATGATAAATGTGGGTTAATAATTATCTTTGATAAATATAATTGGAAATATTTAATTTGTAACTCTTCAAATTGTCGATCAGCAAACAGAACTCTCTCAATCAGCCAGGGTATGAAATTATCACGATAAATATATCTTTTGATAATTATTGCGATAATTATCAAGATAATTATCAGGTAATTAACCGATAATTATCAAACAGAACAAACTAAGCAAACGTTGTGAGATTTTGGTATTTGATTACTTGCATATCATAATTTACGTTAAGTCAAATACCAATACCTACACAAAGATTGCTAAGTTTATATCTGTTTGATAATTATCGCGATAATTATCAAAAGATATATTTATCTTGATAATTTCATACCCTGAAATAAAATAACACTAAAACGAAAGACTTTAACAAAAGTAATTAACGCTTACAAAACGGTTTAAATACCTACACCGCGCCCGGCGAGCAACAGTGTAAGTTCGATGTCGCACGTAATGCAGTAGGTATAAAAAACGCAACGCAAAATATACGATATATAGATAAAACGAATCAAATGTTTACGTGTGTGTATAAACGATAATATTATATTGTCAATTCGAATATTTTAGAAATAATTCTAAAAGCGATTTATTAACAAATGTAACGCGGGGTTTTTAGAAACAACGCGGCTCCGCCCGCGTTCAGATGTCGGACCATGTACAATTCCTGTAGGGCGTGTTTTGGTGCGACCGTATAGTTTAGGCGCCATTATTACAGCAGTTTTGTATGTAAAACACGCTACGTGACAAAGATATATAATATCTGTAACAATAACGCGAAGTAAAGTCAGATAATATACATAGGATAAATGCGCGCTACATAAAAATTGCCCGTTATATAGCTTGAGCAGGCGGTCTGTAAAACGCGATGGACGAATGGTATGGACTAGAGGGGATGGACATTTCGCCGTAGGCAAGTGAAAAATCACGTGAAATGCGTAATCACGCCACACCTGCTACTTAAATTCATAGTTTCGCTACTAAATCACAACTTCTGAAATCTAGATATCTAGCAAACCGTATGTATCTGAATTGAGTAACGGGTACGCCATCTAAACCGAGCCTAAACGTTTTCACGAATGCTGTCGTTACATTTTCCGTATACATTTTCGTACTGATGTTTTTATTGATTTTTACTAAAAAATACAATTTTCAGGATTAATACCGTTGATCAGTAAATTGGGGAGTTTATTTATTTCGAGTTGCATGATTTCGGATTCTTAGAAATATTGTTTAGATAATAAGTGGTTAAATTAGAAGTCAACCGTAAATTTAGAGCACATTTTAGTTTTTGCTATCCAACAAATACTTATAGCATTTTATATGATTTTGAATACGTACTAGACATAACCACCAACGCTGAGAACGAGCTAGAAATGTTTTATTTGAAACTAGTGCTTCCGCGGCGTTCTTCGTCATTAGTGGTGGAAAGTACCCATTGGCGGAGATATTTTGAGCACTGACCATCTTGTGACAACAGTGGAGTGTCGAGAGAGTATTTTCAAAAGCTAATTTTGCAACCCAAAAAAAGAGCACGATTAATAAATTATATACAGCGGAACCTTGTATTCCTCAAGAATTAAGACTCTTTCTATTGTATATAGATATCTCATAAAAAAATCAATCATCAAAAAAAATCAAAAAGCAAAAAAAAATGATTATAAACAAATTTATCGGTACAGAAGACAGGAGGACAGACAGGAGGACATAAAAAATCTTATTGATATAAGTATAGAACTTTTAATACGCGGGGTAATTTTAGCTTAATACAATTTTTACGTGTGATTACGCTGATATATTTAAAATTCATTTAATTTTACTGTAGGGCCGTGTTTTGGTGCGAACCGTTATAGTTTAGTTCATTCAACAGCACCATGTACGTTGCAACTAGTCAGATCTATATCTCTGCTCCATATCACATCAGTAGCGCCATTGGTGAGATTTATATAAGATCTGTAATAGCAAATAAGGAATCGAAGTTAGTACACCAGACCGTCAGAAATATCAAAAATCTATGCGTGAAAAGTAGCAGGTGAAATCACGTGAAAAATTGTTGTAATTTCATCACGTGATAATGATTTAAAAGTAGCAATCATTTCCATGCTTAGTATGGACGTGGCGATAGCGTATTCAAGATTTGTAGAAAGGGTGTGAACGATCGGAAATAAATAATAATGAATTAAAGAATGCAAAATGGGCGAATGAGTTTTAAATTCTACGTATTTAACTGTTTAACTTGAATGCACAAAAAATTGATTTTATGAAAATGATTACTTAAAATGATACAAAAAAGGGTGCTTTCCCGGGTTTCGGCACCAAAAAGATGTACGGGAGAGGTCCTGCCGTAGAGACCCCGTCCGGCCCTCTGGGTCAGAAGGATCGACCTTCTGCCTATATTAACGATGGAACCTGGTAAGAAAAGATCGGTACTTACAGGCAGAATCCTCCAGGTCCCGGACTTGATGAGAGCGCTCTTCAAAGCTGAATCTGAGCTGTGCCAGTGGTGTGCACACCCTTCCACTCTAAGTCCTGGTTATTGCGTGTGTCGTCCACGACGTCCCTTCCGGTAATGATTGAGGGCCGCGGCCGCCGCGCCAGTGCGCAATGCGCTCGGCGCGTGCGGCGCGCTGGGCTAGGCGGACGTTCGTTGCGTTTCAAAGAGGAAAAGAGGCTAGCGGCCTGCCGTATGCTCGTTTTATAGAGCTCCGCTCTGACCCAACCAGATTCCATCGACACGACCTACCCACGAATTAAACGAATAGTGAACACACTCTCACAGTTTTAAAAAACAATATCATGAAAACCGACGTCATAGCCCGAGAGCTCGTGACGAATTTTGGGAAAGTCATTTTGCCAAGTTGAAATTGTGAAAAAATATAATTTCGTGAATTAGCGAGTCCAGACCCGCGAGTCTGGTATAGCTTTAGCGGTTATTTCGTTACGGCGCAGTATAAACATTTTCAAAAAAATATATCCTAAAAACATATTTTTGGCAACTTGATTTTTATTTAATCTTTTAATTTAGTTTTCATATCATTCATAAAAAAGAACCCCAGACGTTATTGTCGGTTATAAAGTATTGCTAGACCTCTCCAAAGATGCTTTATTAAAATTCCCAAAAAATATACTTTTGGCAATCTGAAATTTTAATCACGTATTTATTGAGTAATTTTCAATAATACTTTTATAAATATTAAAATTTTATACTGACATGCTTATTTCACTTTACATATTCTTTGAGATAACATAATTGTAAATAAAATTAATAAAAAAAAATGTTTTTAGAAATAAGCTTTTATCTATACTACTATTATAAAGAGGTAAATTTTATGAGTTTGTGAATTTGGTAGTTTGTGACGATGTAGAGGGTATCTCTGGATCTACTGAAGCGATTTAGATGAAATTTGGTAAGAAGATAGTTTGAGATCCTGGGAATGACAAAGGATACTTTTTATCCCGGAAATAATCTCCTAAGGGGGTGAAAATGGGGATGAACGTTTGTATTGGGAAGCAAGCTAGGGACGAATCCGAGCGAAGCAAGGGTGAGTCGCTAGTATTATATAAATTGTATAGTGTAATAAATTGATGGGTTTAATTTAATTTACATGGTTTTTTAAGTTATTTATTAGTATCCTTCTCCGCAAACGCTTTAATTTGATATCCATGTTAATTATTTATTTTTATGGGAGTGCATAAAAAATATTTCACCATCTTTCGTAGTCCGTCATATTGGATTTAGAATGACGTCATTTAGTTAACCATGCATCGTCATCAATATTAAACAGGCATGCAAGGATAACTGCTTTAAAATTCAGTTGCACGATTTGACCCGAGCGAACATACATACAAACATTGTAAGTTTAAGGAACAGGCAAAATTTTTGTTTTAGAATAATATTTATGCTAGAGATGTCAACATTGTAGTGTTGTATTGGAAATTACAAAACGTTATTCAATATTAGACAAAACCAAATTATACAAATAGTGAATCATTTCTTTATATCCTTTAAATTTTCGCTTCCATTATAAAATACTAGCATTGCCCGCGGCTCCGCCCGCGTTCAGTTGACCAAAAACCAAATTCTTAGGTTTTACATATTAGTATACTTTTTCTTATATATTTTTTCTCAAAAATGAGACATTTTCCCGTGGTAAAAAATATCCTATAGGTATACCCGTATAACCAGCTATCATAATACCAAATTTCATTAAAATCCCTCCAATGGTTTTTTTTGTGATGCGATAACAGACAGACAGACAAGAATTCTAAAAACTATAGATTCGGCCTCTGTATCAATAATAATGTTTATTTCAATAAGATTTTCCATAAAATAATTAAAGTACAGATTCGGCTTAGTTACAATTTTATTATATGTATAGATAAAATAATTTTTTACTTACTTACTTTTTATCATGTTGTATATTAAAAAGTGAACCATTCTGATTTCTTTGTAGAGTTCAGAAATCGACTTTGACGTCAATAGTAATTATGGGTTGGGTAGACGCAATACACCTGGGTGGGTGCGACTAGATGGGGCGTAGCACTAAACTTTTATTTATTAGGCATTATTTCAGTAGGTTTAGTGATGTAAGCTACACAATGGCTACTCCATCAATTTTTATAATATTTTCATAGTTTGAACAAAACAAAGCATTAAAGACAGTTTTCAAGACATATTGAGAAATAATTCATATAAAAATATATTCTAATAAAAATGGTTGTTCCAATTTAAAATAAAATTTGAATATTTATATACACTCGCGTGCAACTGAATCGACTCAAGCCGTATATTGGTATAAAAGTTAAAATTTTAGGAAAATGGCTTATCCGATTTTTTTGTTTTTTTTGTTTGAAAGCCTAATCTTTTCTCCTAAAAAATGCTATCCTAATGAGAAAAATCGGTTGAGTATTGATAAAGTTTAATTTGACAGAAATGCATAAAAAATGAAGAAAAATGAAAACGACAACATAATGAATTAAAAAAAATATTTTTGATAAAAGTAAAGAAAATTAAAATTTTCAATACTTTGTATTGCCTCCCCTAGCTTTTATAACGGCTTGCATGCGATTTTTCATTGATTTTATCAATTTTTTGATAAAATCTTGAGGTATCGTATTCCATTCTTCCTCTAGCGCAGTTTTGAGCTCGACAATGCTTGATGGAGCCGTATCTCTAGCTCGCACCCTCCGTTTGAGCTCGTCCCATAAATCCTCATTGCAATTCAGATCAGGACTGAGGGCTGGCTACATCATCGTCTCAATTTGCACCTCTTGAAGAAACTGGCGAGTAACACTTGCTGTATGGCACCGAGTATTATCATGCATCAATAGAAAATCTTCTCCTATGTACCCTGCATAAGGTACAACATAATCGATGATAATGTTTTCCACGTACTTTTGAGCTGTTAGACCACCACTCCGACCACCACCAGGCACGAAAACAAGCTCGGTCTTCCCTTCAAATGATATTCCAGCCCACATCATGACTGAACCACCGCCATATGATACTGTTTCAGCAAAACAGCATTGCGAGAACCATTCCCCTAGACGCCTGTATACTCAGTCCCTTCTGTCGTTGCCATGTAGACACATTCTGCTCTCGTCAGTGAACAGGATGGAGCTCCATTGCTCAATAGTCCCATTGAGTTGTTCACGAGCAAATTGAAGTCGGGCTTGACGGTGAGCTGCGCTCAGTTTCGGGCCTCTGGTTGGCCGTTTAGGAGTTAAATTGGCTTTCCTCAGGCGTCTTCTAATTGTCCACTGACTGAAAGCCACTCCTCGAACCCTTCTGAGCTCCTGTTGCACATCAACGCCCGTGAGATTACGATTTCTCTACGAAGTTGAGACAATGAAGCGGTCGTCCGTCTCAGATGTGCTCCGGTGTCTATTGGTTTGTGGTCTCCGAACGAAGCCACCAGTCTCTTGAAACCTTCTGTATACTCATGAAACAGCTGATTGGCTCATGTCAAGTTCACGAGCGACTTGCCGTTGATTATGGCTCGCTTGCAACAAAGCTACAACTTGGGCCGCTGCTTCTGAGGTAGTGTCCATCGGATCGTGATTAAAATACTGGGAGCTTAAGGAGATGTGTACCTGTCAACGTCTGACGAGTGACTGATAAGAAATATGGGTCACGTGAGCTTTTATATATGATTTAGTCTCGCAACTCGTGGGTACCGCAACGAGTAATTTCTGTAACGCTCATGTTTGACCGTATTTATTTAAAAAAATTGTCATTGTTTATTTGAAAATTGCTATATTTATGAAAAAAAAATATGTCTTTCGAATAAAAAAACTTTTACAAAAATCGGATAAGCCATTTTCCGAAACTTATATACCAATTACGGCTTATATCGATTCAGTTGCACGCGTGTGTACTTTAAGTAGCTATTTTTTAACTTACAGTTAGATATTTAACAAGTCAGTATAAGTGATCTTAAACATACTATATTGTAACTCGAAGTTAAATAATGTCACGAAACGAGTATAAAAATCGGTCAAGTGTAAGTTAACGTCGCGTGACCGGGTTCCATACATTATGGGAATCTAAAAACTTAGGATTCTGTAGGTAATTATTAAAAAACCCTAAAATTTTGTAACTCTAATTTAACCTCGAAATTAAACGTAACTTAGAATTTATTTATTAACGCCAGTTAGTTACGTAATAAATACGGAGTAGGTATAGAATTTTAATTATCTATATTCAATACCTAGATTCGAAAATGTCGGGTCTAAAGTCTTATTACACGATTTTGAGAATAAAACAAAGAGATTCGAATAATCGGCTTACTATGATGTTATATTTAAAAGCACGAAGTGAATACTTATATCGCCCAAAAACATTTGCCGAGACAAATGGGTACTAATACACATTACCATGACAGGTTAATGTCAAAGATCGTTGTGTAATATCAATATATTTTATCTTGATTGAACTACAATGGAAATGGCGTGATGATGTGAAAGCTAAAATTAGTAATCAGTTCTAAAGTATCAGAATCCATTTACTGACTACATTTCTCATTGGGAAAAGTACAAAATTTTATCTTTTTTTTCTAACAGATTCAGAGAAAATGTGTTTTGAAAAATTAATTTAGAAAATTGATGAATCAAATATGATGCAGTTTTCGGAATGCCACCTCGTTGTATATATAGTTTGGTGGAGTTAACATATTCTTCCACAACTTCAAAGCACGTTTTATTTTAGACGGCTAATCTCGGGGGGTCATGTGTTCCTTTAGCCCTTTTTTTATTTTTGAAGGTTCATTCCATCTGTCTTGACCACCTTCCATACAATCTCTTTCTAGCCCTATAGTTTTCGTCATAATGACAATGTCGCCTGCACATCAAGTTCCGTTTCCGTTTCAAAGGAAGGTTTTGAAGAGGTCCTCTGTGCACTTGTTAACATAGTTAACAAAATTTTGAAGATATTATGTTACTTTACCTTAACCCCGCAATGTGATTAGTTTCGTGCTGTTTTCACACTTAATCGGACATCAACGCGGCTTCGTGCAAACATCTAAAATATCCTCCGAATTAATTGCCTAAGTGTGTGTCACAATTAAAATAATACTTGTAAATAAATACTTGGCATAGAAAAAAACTAAACTGCCTAAGTATTGTGACTCTGATTTCATTGTAGCACTAAAAAAATGCACAAATCGATTTGACCTAAAATCTTAGCACGCTAAACACATTTGGTAAAGTCTAAGTCATTTACACGAGTTTTA